CTCGCTTAAACCTTTGCCTCTCCCTAAAGATGGGTTCAGGCTTTAGTCTCTGCATTCAGGGGCTTGTACCAGAAGAGTCTGACAGTGAAATGCAGCCAAGAAAAAGAGAAGCCTTGGAAGCTATAGACCTTTAACCCTATACATGCTAATCCGAAGCCCCGAAATCCTGAACCTAGAGCTCCTACATCCTAGCGACCCTAAACCCTGAACCCTGAACCCTAAACCCTAAACCCTAAACCCTATTTCAACCCCAACTCAAAGTAGGCCCCCTCCCTTTCCCCCCACAGGAGCGAAAGCCACGCGTTCCCCGCGTCGCCGCGCGCCGCAACATTGCGACGGCACGACCCACTAGGGACAGTGCGTGGGGTTTAGGGTTTAGGGTTTAGGGTTTAGGGTTTCGGCTCAGGGCTGAGGGTGTTTTTGTTGGCTAAGGGGTACGGGGGCTTTGCAGGGGGGGGGAAGGGGGGGTGGGGGTTCAGGGTTGAAGGTCTAGGCTACAGGGTTTAGGATTTCGGGTTTGGGGTTGAGTGTTTTGGTTTTCGCGACTCAATTTTTTGAAAGAGTGTTTTGGTGTCGAGCTGGCGAGCCCAAACTCGACAGCTCCGAAGAAGCAAAGTCCCAGAAACACTGCTATTGCGACTATAGCTGTCATGGTGCCTGAAAGGCTGAAAGACCTCCACGCCCACGATTCATCTAAGGGTAGGTAGTTGCATGGTCCCTTCATATGGTCCCTTACCTTCTTTGAAGTGGTATGCAAGGGTTCACCAATTAAGTCAGAATTACACATTGTATAGGGTCAGAACCCAAGACACCCTACGTATGGAGTACTCCGCGAATCAGGTTCGAAGCCCTCTTACATGTTACGGAAGTTTAGTGTAAACCTTGTGAACCCAACAATTCTTTCGGAGGCGCCTGCTGAGTCGTCTTTTTCAGTGTCATGCTCGCTGTCTGCCTCGACGACGTCCCGCCTATTCAAGCCGCAGGGGAACGATGTGGGGTTTAGGGTGTTTAGGTTGTAAGGTTCAGGGGAACCCTAAACAGTAGGCCCTAAACCCTAAACCCTTAGCTCTACACCCTAAAGCCTAGAGCCCGAAACCCGAAACTGCAAGCATAACCTCTTCTGGGGTGTCGGACGCAAGGTCGTTTTTTAGTCGGATTTTGGTTGTGACATTGTCGTGGGTTTAGGGCTGAGGGGTTGGGGTTTCGGTCTCTTGAGCCCTTTTCGCGTCTCAAACCTGCTGCTCTCAGACCTCAACAACAGGTCATGCCGTAGTTAAACTAAAAACACCCAGCCCTGCATCCTAAATCCTGAGCCCTAAGCCCGAGACCATTGGCACACCGTTTTGTGTTTCTGGAGCACTCAAGCTCCTTGTGCTGCAGGCGGCCCATATCGCCATCAACGGTCCGCGAGGCTGCGTACACAAAGGACGCACCCAAGCACATACGGAGGTTCGGCTGTAAGGGCCCCCCAATCCCCTAGATCCTAAAAAGCCAAAGCCCAGAACCCCAAAGAAACCCTTCAACCCTTAAACCATCCCTAAACCCTAAACCCCTGACCCCCACCCCCCCTCACCCACCCCCCCCCCCCCCCCCCCCCCCCCCCCCCCCCCCCCCCCCCCCCCCCCCCCCCCGGCCCTCACCCCCACCCCCCCCAAAGAAAACAACAAAGAACTATAGGATTGTTTGACTGGCTTCGGGCATGCGGGATAGCCTCAGGTCTGCAAGGGCCATTGGTAGCATCTTTCGGTGCCCTCAGCACTCTTCTCGTTTTAGCACCCCGAAAACCCAAAACCTGAAACCCTAAACCCTAAACCTTACACTCTAAACCCTAAACCCTAAACCTAAAAGGGGCCCTACCCCCCCCCTTCCCCTACAGCCCAGCCTTAGGCTCACCCCTTGCTTTGAAGTACCCCACAAGCATCTCAGAAAGCCATGCGGTTTAGGGGCTAGGGTTTAGCGTATAGGGTTTAGGGTCTTCGGTTTTGGATGTTGGGGCATAAAGCATCCGACGCAGCTTGCGGATTCTGGGTTGGCTGGCCGACGGTGAGGTCTGGAGTTCTTTCAACCAAAAGCCCAGTTTGGTGTTGAAGCTTTTTGGGGTTTGAGGTTTAGGGTTCAGGGTTTAAGGTTTAGTGGGGTATATTCCCTATCTAAGAGTGTTACTCGGCTCGCTGGCAAGCTTGTGAGAAGGAGGGTACCCCTAGACCCTCAGCCTTCTAGAAGTCACATGACAGTCAGAGGGTCCTGGAGCAAGCGTGGTTTAGGCGGGGCTGCTTGGAGGCTCATTCATGGGTGGTCCACAGTATGATTGAGGATTCAGGCTTTAGCCATAAGCATTATAAGCCCCCCCCCCTTTTCCGAGCAAGAGCATAACCAGCTGTACTGGCGGGTGCCTTACATACAACTGAGAAAACTCTCCATGAAGACTCCAAGACACCCAATGCCCTTGCAGGAGACTGTTGGTACTGGCATTTGTCGCCTGGGTATTGAGGAGGACTCCAGTCAGATGAGTCGCGGGCTGTTCAGGTTGAAGTTTGAGAACTTCACGGGAGTGTCGTTTGAGGCTTTCAGCCCGGCGAGTTCCGCATTTGTTGCCAAATTCAGAGAAACCAACACACCAAAAAGGGTACCCTTGTCGTGTTACCGACACCCTGAACCCGAAGTCCTAAGCCCTAAACCCTAAACCGCTGCAATAATCTGCCTCCTTGCATCCGACGTAAACCCTAAACCGGCTAAGCACGCTCTGGCAGACGAAAGTTCGACCTACACTCCCCCAAATCCTAAATCCTGAATCCTAAATCCTAAATCCTCAATCCTAAACCCTAAAGCCTAAAGCCTAAACCCTAAACCCCAAACCCTAAACCGTAAACCCGAAACCCGAAACCCGAAATCCTAAACCCTAAACCTTTAACCCTTAACCCTAAACCCTTAAGCCCTTAAGCCCTTAAGCCCTTAAACCCTTAAACCCTTAAACCCTTAAACCCTTAAGCCCTTAAACCCTTAAACCCTTAAACCCCTAAACCCTTAAACCCTTAAACCCTTAAACCCTTAAAACCCTTAAAACCCTTAAACCCTTAAACCCTTAAACCCTTAAACCCGTAAACCCTTAAACCCGTAAACCCTTAAACCCACCTGCAAGGAGCTCGCCGAGCGGGACGCCGACCTCGTCGCTCGGCTTTCTTGGGTACTTGGGGGCTTTTGGGGCTTTTGGGGCTTTTCGGGTTTAGTGTTTAGGGTTTGGGGTTTAGGGTTTGGGGTTTAGGTTTAGGGTTTAGGATTTAGGGTTTAGGGTTTGGGGTTTAGGGTTTGGGGTTTGGGGTTTAGGGTTTGGGGTTTAGGGTTTAGGGCTTAGGGTTTAGGATTTCGGGTTTAGGCTTTAGAGGTTGAGGGGGCCGGGCTATCGGCCATGCAAGGGCCATACTCAGCCCTGACTAAACCTTTAAGCTCCGGAGAGGGTTTGCTGTTTGGGGTATGAATGTGTGCAGTGCATATATTCACGTATAGATAGGAAGCCGGGTTTATATTTTTGTTGGTGAGTGTATACAAGGCTCCTTTTTACCCTACTTCATTCCTTTCTATATATATATATATATATACATATACAGATGTAGCGTCCGAAACTCGAGTCGAGCCTCAAACTGCTTCAAGTGCTTCAGCCAGGCAGCGTTTGCGCATCATCGATTTGACTGCGTGCGCGAGGCTCTCCGGGAAAGCTGCGTGTCGGGCTCAACTCCTATCACCCCCTACACCCTAAGCCCTCTAAACCCCCCTAAGCTGACCCCCTTTAAACCCTAAACCCCAAACGGCAAGCCCCTGTACACCCTAAGCCCCCAAGACCCTAAACCCTCAATCCCCAAGGCGGGGATTTAGGTTGTGGGTTGTAGGGGTCAGGGTTGAAATGCTTGGGCTCGATGGTGTAGGGTGGATCGTGTTTTTGGGGGGTTAAAGCTTCCGGATGCAGGGTTTGGGGGGTGTAGAGTCCAGGGTTTGGGGGGGGGGCCGGGGTTCCATCATGCTATGTATGTATGCATGTATGTATGTATGTATGTATGTATGTATGTATGTATGTATGTATGTATGTATGTATGTATGTATGTGTGTGTATGTATATCTATATATATATATATATATATGTGTGTGTGTATGTATAGCCCAAACCCTAAACCCTAAATCTGAATAAAACCCTAAACCCTAAACCCTAAACCCTAAACCCTAAACCCCAAACCCAAAACCCAAAACCCTAAACCCACGCTGGGAACCAGGCCGGCAGCCGCGAACGCGAGCTCGCGGCCCGCTGGCGCAGGCGACGCCAAGCCAAGGAGCCGCTCTACAAGGCGACCCAGCTGGAAAGGTAAGGTTTAGGGTTTAGGGTTTAGGGTTTAGGGTTTAGGGTTTAGGGTTTTGGGTTTTGGGTTTAGGGTTTAGGGTTGAGGGTATAGGGTTTAGGGTTTAGGGTTTAGGGTTTCAGGTTTCGGGTTTGGGGTTTAGGGTTTGGGGTTTGTGGTTTAGGTTTTTGGGCTTAGGGTTTAGGGTTTTCAGGGTGCAGGCTTTAGGGTTTAGGTTTCGGCTTAGGGTTTAGGGTTTTCAGGGTTTGGGGTTTTACTTGAAGGTTCGCGTTCAGTTCTCAGAGGCGTTGCAGGTTGCAAGCATCCAGTCCGCGAAGGCAATGCATACCTTGCAGCCAACCCACTTCCATGAATCTCGAATGTATTGAAGTAGAGGGTTCACTTACCAAGAGAGCCCCGCACACCTTCATCAATCAGTGCACCTTATTTCATAGCATCCCTGGATGCTTTTAAGATCCGTTCCCTACTTTTCCGTGCTTTCGAGGTATATGGGACTGGCAGGGTGCTGAAACAGGTAGCCCTACATCTTTTTTCGGGCGCTGGAAGCTTTATCAGGCCCTGAATGAGGCCCCAGGTTAGAACCCTGCTTCCCTTTAGAGCACTTAGGCAATTTTGTCCATTTCTGTTTCTGTGTGCGTGTCTAGAGAACTCGCCATGCCCAGGTACGGTGGCTGCTACTTCCGCCGCGCTGCCTGCACTTACTTGAATCGGGAGGATGCTCTGACGTCCAAAAACCCCCAAATCCCAAGCCCTACACCCCAATCCCTGCGTGGGGTTCAACACGCATCGTTGGGGGCTCCCATGGGGCCTCATGGCCAAGTGTGGGGTTAGGGTTGCTCAGGGTTGCCGTAAACCCCGCAAGCTGTGCCCTGTGCCATTTCCTGTTCTTCCACCTTAACAAAGAAGGCATGTCGAGCAGCGGTTGCCGACGCCGCCGGCAGTGAACGAGGTGGGTGGATGGTGGAGGGTTGAGCGACCGACCGACTTGACAAGCTTAGGCTTAAGGTTGAATTGCGGTTCATCAGTGTGTGGCAGTGTGTGGATAGTCGGTTTGGGGGCGCTAATCTCGTTGCACCTATAGCATCTCAGGTTAGAGTGGAGTGGCGAAGGTCCCTAAACCCTAAACCCTAAACCCTAAACCCTAAACCCTAAACCCTAAACCCTAAACCCTAAACCCTAAACCCTAAACCCTAAACCCTAAACCCTAAACCTAACCCTAAACCCTAAACCCTAAACCCTAAACCCTAAACCCTAAACCCTAAACCCTAAACCCTAAACCCTAAACCCTAAACCCTAAACCCTAAACCGTGGGTAGGGCCATGTGGGGGCTTGTGGAGTGGGGGGAGGGGGGTTCGCAGGCCTTTCGTGCTCGTTGACCTGAAGCACTAGAAGCTTGAACCCCAAAACCTGAAACCCTAAACCCTAAACCCTAAACCCTAAACCCTAAACCCTAAACCCTAAACCCTAAACCCGAAACCCTAAACCCTAAACCCTAAACATCTTCGAGTCTGCAATCAGCTCAAGAGCGTACCCCAGCGGCCCTGGAGTTCCAACCCTAGACCCTAAACCCTAAACCCTAAACCCTGATACCCCAAACGAAGAGAGCTAAACCTCTACATCTTCAGCCTCTAAAGAGCCTCTGACCTTGAGGAGGAGCTCCCTCCTGCTCTGGAGGTGCCGGCGGAGGTGGGGCTCGGGGTTTAGGGTTTAGGGTTTGGGGTTTCGGGTTTAGGGTTTAGGGTTTGGAGTTTAGGGTTTAGGGTTTGGGGTTTATGGTTTGGGGTTTAGGGTTTGGGGTTTAGGGTTTGGTGTTCAGGGTTGGGGACAGTTTTCTTTTTGCACTTGCGGGCAGCTGAGTGAGGGTGGTTTGGGGTGTTCTCTGGCGGATGTACTTTGGGCCCAGTCCCGTTGAGTCTGAGGGTCACGGTGAAGGGTTCCAACTCAGGAGAGTGCAGAATCATCAAAATTGAGGGTTATGTTAGGGTGTAGGGCTTAGGGTGTAGGGTTTCGGCCTCACCCTCCCAGAAGAACCCTAAGCCCTAACCCTAAACCCTAAACCCTAAACCCTAAACCCTAAACCCTAAACCCTAAACCCTAAACCCTAAACCCTAAACCCTAAACCCTAAACTCTAAACTCTAAACCCTAAACCCTACTTCGACTCATTCGTACGATGTGCCTGATAAGGCCTTGTCTCGCACCACGCGCAGCCAACACCAACACGCATATAGCGTTCCAACCCCTGAAAGCCCAAACCCTCCCCCAAGCAAAACAAAAGACAATTGAACCCTAAACTGACTGAGCCAGGGGCCATCGAGCAGGGCGAACGCACCGAAGTCGGCAGGCGAGGGAGCTTGGGAGTTACAAGCCCTCCGGCTGGCGACGGAGTTCTCCGTCCCGTAAGCAGCTACAGGCTGCGAATGCCCGGTTAGATTAATCCCCCGACCGTCGGGCTGATACCCTAAACCCTAAACCCTAAACCCTAAACCCTAAACCCTAAACCCTAAACCCTCAACCCTCAACCCTAAACCCTAAACCCTAAACCCTAAACCCTAAACCCTAAACCCTAAACCCTAAACCCTTTTGGGAAGACCTCCCGGCCCGATCAGAAAGCAAGGAAGCCAGAAGTCCTGCAAAGGTCAAGACGAGGGCAGGGCGCAAGCATGGGTGGGGCTGTACAAGTCGGAGCGCGCGCCTGGGGACTTTTTGCACCAACGCGCCCCTCCATGAGACATCCTAAACCCTTTTGTAAACCCCAAAAACCCTAAACCCCAAACCCCAAACCCCAAACCCCAAACCCCAAACCCCAAACCCCAAACCCCAAACCCCAAACCCCAAACCCCTCACCCCAAACCGCAAACCCCAAACCCCAAACCCCAAACCCCAAACCCCAAGCCCCAAGCCCCAAGCCCCAAGCCCCAAGCCCCAAGCCCCAAGCCCCAAACCCAACCCTAAACCCTAAACCTAAACCCTAAACCCTAAACCATAAAACCTAAGCCCCAAACCCTAAACCCTATGCCCGAAACCCTAAACCCTATACTCTAAACCCTTAACTCCAACCTGTGCAACAGGAGGAGGACCTCCCACCAGCCAGACCCCCCACGCCAGAGGGTTGCTGGGCATGGCAGAGAAAGGGTTTAAGGGTCTTGAGGTTTCAGAGTTTGGGGGTTTGGGGTCTGGGGTTTTGGGAGGTTTTTGGGGTTTCGGGTTTTTGGGGTCTTTCAGTTTTGGCGTTCGGGATTGGGCTCTGGGGAGGTTAGGGTTCCAGGTATGGGTCCTGGAGACCCATCTTGGCCGGAAATCCGAGGCTTGGGGTCCTTGACAGGAACAATCGGCGCGCTCTAACGCTGAACCATAATCGTCCCCCAGCCCCAAACCCGTTCGGTTCGCCTCAGGAACCCACCTAGTTTAGAGGGTGTGCCCGAAGCCCTACCCCGCACCTTGCTTGTTCGCGCAGGATGACAGCCAAGCAACATACGCTGCTGGGATGTTCCTAACACTCCTTAATAGGGATTATCCTGAGGGGTTCTAGAATGCCTATTTTGGACTGTTCGTATAATGGGAACATCCCAAAACGAGAACATACTCAGGTACCCAAATGAAGGAATGGCAGTTGCGGGTCGGAGGTGTGGGGACCAAACCAATTTCAAACCAGAGCCTGCGTCCTTGAGGCGTGGCCTTTCATCGAAATCATGGGCCTGCTTTTGCCGCACCTTAATCTTTTTGGCTGTCATAGAGACCCCTCTTAGAAACCCCAAAAGACACTGACCCCTAAACCCTACACCGTAAACCCTAATTCCCGAAACCCTAAACGCTACATCTGCCATGGAGACACAACAAGGCCTAGGCACGGCAAGCAGCCCCCCATGTACATCTGAGGCTACTGGCAGCGCGGGACACAGGCTTGTCTGGCTCTCATGGAATGTTTTCTTGGTAGTCCAGTGATACCTTTTCCCTTTTTTGTGGCTCAAGGTTGTTTATCAACTAGGACCTGGAGTAGGCCCTTAACTAGTCCCTTTTTGTAGGGTTGGGTTCCTTTATAATCCCCTTAAATTCAAAAAAAAGTGCCCGTTTTTGTTCCCAAGGATATTTATCTAGGGTGTAGGGTTTAGGGCATACCCCGATCTACTCTTTGCTTGATTTAGAGCTCCCCCAACACTACCAAGCATTCTTCCTTACACAGGGAAGTGTAGGGATATTTATCTTTTGCCTTTTTGGGGCTTTCTTGAGCAAATCGTAGTAATGGAGCTCACAGTCGAAGTGGGGGTCCTTGCCCTGAGCTCCAAGCATCTAGAAATAACCCCCAAGCCCTACATTCGTCAGCAGGTTTAGGGTTTAGGGGGTTTGGGAGTTTAGGGTTTAGGGTTTAGGGGGTTTGGAGTTTAGGGTTTAGGGTTTCTAAACCCTCCCTAAACCCAACGTGAAGGAGGAAGTGGAGAGTGCGGATGGTGATGCCGGGCGTCGCACGCCACTGTGCGACAGGGCGCCTTGGCAGCAAGGTGAGCAGGGGTGGTTTAGGGTTTAAAATTTAGGGTCCCTCATCTGTGCGCACTGTCTATGCAGGTAGCTCTAACTGGGTTTTGTGTTGCATGGCTCTAACTTGTCTCGGGGCCTTGTAAGCCTGCCCACCCTCACCATCAAGTCAACCCTGAACCTTAGAACCCTAAACCCCAACCCAGGAGTGTTGTTTTTTTGTAAACCCTAAACCCTAAACCCTAAACCCTAAACCCTAAACCCTAAACCCTAAACCCTAAACCCTAAACCCTAAACCCTAAACCCTAAACCCTAAACCCTAAACCCTAAATTTAAGAGCCTCCGGCTCAAGCCGCCGACCCCGCTGGAGCATAGTTGAGACCCGCTCGCATGGAAGATCATCCCCGGCAGAGTTCTGTGAATCGTTTGGGGGGGGGTAGGGGGTAGCACCAGGACAAGCTCAAGCCAAAAAGACAGGTGGGTGGGGGTGGGGGGGGGAGGGGGGGGGGGTAGGGGGGTGGGGGGTGGGGGTGGGGGGGGGGGTGGGGGGGGGGGGGGGGGGTTGGGGGGGGGGGGGGGGGGGGGGGGGGGGGGGGGGGGGGGGGGGGGGGGGGGGGGGGGGGGGGGGGCGGGGGGGTGGGGGGGGGGGGGGGGGGGGTGGGGGGGGGGGGGGGGAGGCGGGAAACGCTGATTTTGCTGAGGGCGCCCCTACCCCCCGTGCTGAACCCCTGTTTACGCTGTGCGGGTGGCGCGGTCCTCCACGAAAAAATTGTGCACCGACCCCCCCCACCCCCCCCCCCTCCGTTTTGGGGGGGTAAGGAGGGAAAGAGGGAGGTTTCACCTCCTTTTCCCATCCAACACGCCGCCAGGGTCGGCGGACCCTAAACCCTAAACCCTAAACCCTAAACCCTAAACCCTAAACCCTAAACCCTAAACCCTAAACCCTAAACCCTAAACCCTAAACCCTAAACCCTAAACCCTAAACCTAAACCCTAAACCCTAAACCCTAAACCCTAAACCCTAAACCCTAAACCCTAAACCCTAAACCCTAAACCCTAAACCCTAAACCCTAAACCCTAAACCCTAAAGGGCTTGATGTATATAGGGGGATAGACGTGGTCTTATCAGGGTCCGGGTGTTTGGGGTTGAGGGTTCAGGGTTTCGGGGGGCTACGGACACTGAACTAACTTGTTCTTAATGAGGGGCATTCGGGAACTGTACTAACTAGTTCTTCGTGGGGGCACTCGGGAATTTTGGTGCCTTGTATCCCCTTCCATGGCGTCGTTTTTTGGATTTTTCGTGGGTGCCCAGGTATTCTGGTTGCCTTCTAGTTAAGAGCACGAGGGTTAGTTTTGATTGCTATGGCTTGCCTTGTCCGTTCTTCGTTTATCAGGGTCGAGACCAGCATTCAGGAAGCAAAGAACTAGGTTTAATTCCCCACCCTCGGTGTGGGGTTGATGGATTTTAAACGCAACTCTTCTTTTTGCCCGGAGCTCTTCTCCTCGCCGGGTCTACTCCTGTCAACAAGGGACCCCAAAACCCAAGGGTACAGCCTTAAGGTCCAAGTTCCCAAGGTTGTTGGGTTCTTAAGGGGGGGTTCAGGGGGGTATGTAGCCCAAGGTTCCCGAATGCCCCCCACTACGGCTCCCTAAGCTTCCCTAAGGTTTTCCAGGTGCCTCCCCCCGCATGAACCCCCCTCCCTCAAGAAGCCTATAAGCTTAGGGTGTGGGGCTGAGGGAAAGCCAGGACACAGTGATCCGTCGACATTGACGTCTAGGACACGATACCAGAAGTAAGCATAAGGCCACCTCCAAAACGGAGCGTTCACTGAGCAAAAGAGCAAGAACCACAAGTTACACGGCCTCGTTTGCGCCACCTTGCCTTGCTGTGGGCTGGGGGAGGTTGTGGTCCTTCTTAGATGGGTTTCTACTATTGCAGGTTACCCCCGGCCACCCCCCCCCCCCCCCGAAACTTTTCCCCTCAACCCAAAAACTAAACACCCTAAAAGCCCGAAAGCCCAAACCCTAAACCCTAAACCCTAAACCCTCATCGCAATCCCTTCAAGCCAGGTCCTCGGAAAGCTCAAGAGTCGTCCCCATCGCCTTGGTGCCTCAGCCTGCAAGGGTTTGGTTTGGGGCTTAGGATTCAGGGTTTAGGGTTTAGGGTTTAGGTTTGGGGTTTAGGGTTTCGGGTTCGGGTTTCGGGTTTAGGAGGAAAACCGCAAGAGAACTCTTTCATGGGGTGCTCCATACAGATCTCCCTAGTCAGACTCGCTGAGGGGCTTCTGATTTTCGGTCCCGTGAGGGGGAGGGTTTAGGGTTTAGGGTTTAGGGTTTAGGGTTTAGGGTTTAGGGTTTAGGGTTTAGGGTTTAGGGTTTAGGGTTTAGGGTTTAGGGTTTAGGGTTTAGGGTTTAGGGTTTAGAGTTTAGGGTTTCGGGTTTAAGGTTTAGGGTTTAGGGTCTCCTTGTAGGCGTAGAAGTACCCTGCAAATCAGCCTGGAGCCCGTTGCAGGTATGGCTGCCTTGCTTGTTTAGGTTCTGGTTTAGGTTCTGGGCGTTTAGGGTACCCCTTTTATTCCTAGGTTGCTCTTGGGCCTAACCCTAAACCCTAGACGGAGGCCCCAAAGGCCCCATAAGCCCTTTAACCTAAGACCAGGTGACGAACGCGCCTGGCGCCTCACGCTGATGCGGAAGCGCACCCAGCGCACCTGGGACCAAGTGAGTTTAGGGTTTAGGGTTTAGGGTTTCGGGTTTAGGGTTTATGTTTTAGGTTTAGGTTTTAGGGTCCAGGGTTTAGGGTACCTCTTTGGCGCCCGAAGCCCTGGTTGAGCCTTATATAAGCCCTTCAACTTCAGAAGGCCCCCAAACTGGAAAGGCCGAACTCGTAGAATGAGCAGTCGCGGGCCCGCGAGCCCTCCTAAACCCGAAACCCTAACCCCTAACCCCTTACCCCTAACCCCTAGACCCTAAATCCTAGACCCTAAACCCTAAACCCCTAAACCCTAAGCCCTAAACCCTAAACCCCACACCTGACGAGACCGAAACACCAAGACCTCGTCAGCTCCCCAGATGGCAGGTGAGCAGGCGATGGGATTTCGGGCTTTTGACGTCATTTAGGGTTTAGGGTTTAGGGTTTAGGGTTTAGGGTTTAGAAAACCCTTGGACGTTTAGGGTTCAGGCGTTTAAGGTTTAGGATCTAAAGCCCTACAACGCAAAAACCCAGAGGCGCGAAGGCGAGGCGCCTTGCGGTAGCCCTGGCACAGGCGGCTGCGCGTGCTTTCAGTAGTGATTGGGGCAATTAGGGTTTAGGGCTGTTAGGGGTGCAGAGTTCCATTGCCAGAGCGGTTCATACTCGTGAAGGTCACGCTGCTCTTGGTTATATCGTTTTGTCACCGAAACAGCATGGCTTCAGGTTTTTGAGGGTGGAGAGACTTGCAAGTCCAAAGCGCCTTAGAGTTTAGGGTTAGGGTTTAGGGTTTAGGGTTTAGAGTTTAGAGTTTAGGGTTTAGGGTTTAGGGTTTAGGGTTTAGGGATTAGGACCACCAAAAACCTCCAGAGCCTTAAGCCCCGAACGCTGTGGCAGCTCCGGCCGCCTTCGACCCCGACACCCCGCTGCCGGAACGCCATCATAAAGTATGGCGGTTCTTTGGGTGAAATATATCTACGGGTCGTTACATGGTCCCTTCATTATGCCTTACCCTAAACCCTAAACCCTAAACCCTCAACCCTCAACCCTCAACCCTCAACCCTCAACCCTCAACCCTCAACCCTAAACCCTAAACCCTCAACCCTCAACCCTCAACCCTCAACCCTCAACCCTCAACCCTCAACCCTCAACCCTAAACCCTAAACCCTAAACCCTAAACCCTAAACCCTAAACCCTAAACCCTAAACCCTTACAGGTTTCGAAGGATGCGCCCTTGGGCTGTAGAGGGTATATAAGGGGCACATAAGGGGTCCCATTTCAGGGCCCATGCGAAGGGGCCACGTAGCGACCCTAAGAATATTTCTGGCCGCATCATAAGAACGACCCTGACTTAGAAAGCTGACCATCACCATTCTGTGGATCATTTTCCCACCCCGATCCGCAATAGGCGCTGGCTCGCTCTACCTTTCATGGGTTTCCCTACGAACTACCCCGCCTCTATACTACCCCCCCCTAGATTGCCCCCTTAAAGAATCTTAGTTAGGCTTAAGTTATTCCCAAATGGCCTTTAGGGAACCCGTGCACCTTAGGAGTTGGAGGAAGAACATAAGCCTTGCAACCTTCACGGCCCGTGCAGGAGCGTGCAGACGAGAACTCGGTGGAGGCCATCATGCTTAGAACGCGGTTTAGGGTTTAGGGTTTAGGGTTTAGGGTTTAGGGCTTAGGGTTTAGGGTTTAGGGTTTAGGGTTTAGGGTTTAGGGTTTAGGGTTTAGGGTTTAGGGCCAGTTTAGGGCTTAGAGTTTAGGGTTGATTCACGGGTACTTATAAGTAGGGTTTTTTAGTACCCTAACTGGGGGTTATAACTAGCCATAGTTACCCTACTTGTAACCCCGCTTATAAGTGCCCATGAACCTCCAAGTACACGTCGCCATGGCATGTTTAGACCTTTTTGAGTAATGCGGTTCCTGTTCGGCTCCCTTGTTTATGTTCGGTGGCAAGGGGATAGCATGAGGGCATCAAAAGCTCTAAGTTCGTTCCCTTGTAATCAGGGACACTCTATACGTTTGATTTCGGAAGGTTTTTCGAGGAGTCCCTCCTACTTGCATCATCCCACTTTCAAAGACCCTAAACCCTAAACCCCCCAAACCCCAAACCCCAAACCCCAAACCCCAAACCCCAAACCCCAAACCCCAAACCCCAAACCCCAAACCCCAAACCCCAAACCCCAAACCCCAAACCCCAAACCCCAAACCCCAAACACCAAACCCCAAACCCCAAACCCCAAAACCCAAAACCTAAACCCTAAACCCTAAACCCTAAACCCTAAACCCTAAACCCCAAACCCTAAACCCTAAACCCTAAACCCTTGGTGGGAAGAGGGGGGGGGAAGGGCGGCGGTCTGTGGTTTTGACTCGATGGCTGGGCACCATCAGTCTTCAGGACAAATTCTGAAAGGCCACTGATACGTACAGCCTTTAAACCCCCCAAGCCAAAGCCTCAGGCCCTGAACTAAAAAAAAAAAAACCTAAACTAAAAAAACCATAACCCTTAAACCCTAGACCCTAAACCCTTAAACCCTGAACCCTAGACCCTAAACTCTCTTTTAGGGATGCCAAAAGCCTGCGGGAGGCTAGCGCCTCGGTCGCCGACTTCCTGGGCAACATACGCCCTAAGGAGGTCCAGGCGTACCAGGCGGCCCCTGTTTCGGTTTCAAGGGTTTAGGGTTTAGGGTTAGGGTTTAGGGTTTAGGGTTTAGGGTTTAGGGTTTAGGGTTAGGGTTTAGGGTTTCGGGTTTAGGGTTTAGGATTTAGGGGGGGCTATGGGGCTTTCAGGGCTGTCAGGGTTGAGGGGTTAGGGTTCTGCCTTCCAGGATTAGCTTTGGGGTTGTAGAGTTGAGGGTTTAGGGTTTGACCCCTAAAAACTGGGGTTAGCCCGAGACCTGAAGCTCTCTAGGTTACCTCCGAGGTTTCCCATACCTCTACGCCCCAACCCATACCTCTACGCCCTCAGGGTTAATTAGCCTTTTTGGCGTCCTGACACTCGAAAGAAAGGATCAAATCTAGTGGCCGGGTAAGGGCTACGAAGCACCGGGCAAGGCTCTTGGCCGAAGGGAAGGTGCTGAGGCTACGATCTAAGCCTTTCGACTCAGCGCAAGAGGCGGAGGAACACTACAAGGCTCGAAGCAGAACTAAAGAACAGCTTGAATACCCGCAAGGAAGCTGGTCCTGCAACCTCTGTTGGGACGTTGTCCAGAGGAGTGAAAGGCTCAGAAAGCTGCTGCCGAAACAACAACACACATACACGTATGCTTATATGTGTGTAAGCATCTGTGCGTATGTATGTGTGCATGCATGTATGTATGCATGTGCGTGCCCGTTGGTGTGTATGTACGTATGCACGTAAGACCCTGCTAGCCGAGCCCCTAACAACCTTGAACCTTAGACCTTAGACCCTGAGACCAACCTTGAACCCTGAAACCCTCAACCAGTCAACTTGCAAGCACCCATGAACCTGCAAGTAGCCCTAAATCCTAAACTCGAAGCCCTAAACCCGCAACCCTAAACCCTAAACCCTAAACCCTAAACCCTAAACCCCAAACCCTAAACCCTAAACCCTAAACCCTAAACCCTAAACCCCAAACCCTAAACCCTAAACCCTACACCCTAAATCCCTTAAGTCTCCAGGTCGCTCTCCGCCGCTTCGGGCGCCGGGCAGACCGACGCATCGACCAGGTCGGGGGGTTGCTTTGCGAGCTTTAGGGGTTTAGGGTTTAGGGTTTAGGGTTTAGGGTTTAGGGTTTAGGGTTTAGGGTTTAGGGTTTAGGGTTTGGGGGTTGGGGGTTTGGGGTTTAGGGTTTAGGGGTTTGGGGTTTGGGGTTTAGGGTTTAGGGTTTAGGGTTTCGGGTTTCGGGTCTAAGGGTCTAAGGTTTAGGGTTTAGGGTTTAGGCGTTTGGGGTTTAGGGTTTAGGGTTTAGGGGTTTAGGGGTTTAGGGGTTTAGGGGTTTAGGGTTTAGGAGTTTAGGGCAGGGTTTAGGGTTGAAGGCGATTATAGTACCCCGCCCTACTATTGTAGTCCCTATTGCAATTCCTATTGAGGACTGTTAGTATAAGGTGGAAGATCCCAAGGTTCCGGGTTGAGGTCTTCGGGGTTTAGGATTTTTAGGGGGCTTTAGGGTGTAGGGTTTTGGGGTTACGGGTGTAGGGGTTCAGGGTTCAGGTTTTCGGGGTTTAGGGTTTTAGGGGGTTTAGGTGGTTTAGCTGCCCGAGCGGATGACTTGGGACGGCTCCTGCGCGAAATGGAGGTCTTGGTCGAGGAGGCTTAGGGTTTTAGCGGGTTTAGGGGGTTTTGGGTCCAGGAGGCTTAGCGTTTTCGGGGTGTACGGGTTTAGGGTTTTCGGGGTTTTCAGGTTTTGTGGAGTATAGGTTGGCGGGGTTCAAAGCTGGAGGATGGGGCTTAGGTTTTCGGTTGTAGGTTTGAGCTACTGGTTTTGGGCTTTAAGTTTAAGGCGTTTATGGTTTGGGGTTTAGAGTCGAGGGTGGTGTTCGGGCTCAAGATGCAGCATCTCAACGGTCCAAATCGACGTTCCTCGGTTCAAGGGTTTCAGCACTGCAAGGTCCCGAGCTACCATAGCCCGTACGGGCCCTATGAAGACTATAAACCCCAAACCCTAAACCCTAAATCCTGACCTACAGTAGCCAGGGAAAACCGGAATGTTTCGCCATATTGAGCCGTAATACAACCCTTCCAGGCTGAATTCTGAGCCCTTTAATCCCTTACCCCGTGGGCTCCTAGAGGTACCCGATTTGGGGGTATGTAAGGGGATTCTACTCCATGTGGTGTATAAAAGAGGTACCCCTATGTTGGCAAATGCCCATATCCTGAACACGTCCAGAACCCCACCCCTAGACACAACCAAAAAGACATCCAAACAGCGCCACGCAGACCCAAAACACTACACCGGAGGTTTTTTTTTATAAAGAGGTTTTTAAAACCCCTAGCAGAAGAGTGTTTTTTTTAAACAGATGGTTTAAAAACTGGGTTTTCAACACGCCTAGAAGCTCCCGACCCTATACCCCATGAGACGACGCCGAAGCGGATCGCTCAGGCCGATCTTCTGGATGCGCTCAGCGAGTTGGGCTTCCGGCCCAGGAGAGGGTTTAGGGTTTCGGGTTTCGGGGTTTACAGTGGTTTATCGGGGTTTAGGGTTTGGGGTTTAGGGTTTAAGGGTTTTAGGGTTTAGGGTTCTAGGGTTCAGGGTTTAGGGTTTCGGGGGGTGGGGGGGGGGTGGGGATCGAAAGGTCCCCCCCAAGCTTCTTTCTTCAAAGAGGGAATCTTACGTTTCAGGCTCACACGGATGAAGGTTCAACAGGCGGGGGTCTTTGCCAATCTCAAAGGCCTGAAGCCAGGTTCCTGCTGGAGTTTCAGGACCCCTGAACCTTACAACACTTAACGCTCAGGCATTATATCTTCCATAGTTCTGATTGTTAGCATTCTCATGGTTATTATGATTATTACTTCTACTTTTTTCTTATGATTATTAGTCCTTTTTTGGGAAACACCACAGAGGAGTGTCTGTGTATGGTTCTCACGCGTCTCCACAGAGCAGTGTTTGTGTATGTTTCTCACTCGTTGGGGCGGCAGTTTGCTGCTCGGAGGTCCCCACTGAGCTTACAAGCCCCGAGCCGCAGGCTTTGTGTAGCAGTTGAAAGGTTCAGGGTTTAGGGTTTAGGGTTTAGGGTTTAGGGTTTAGGGTTTACGGTTTACGGTTTGGGGTTTAGGGTTTAGGGTTTCAAAGAGCCCAGATTCCAAGCCTGTTGCTTCAAGGCCGAAGAGATCCCAGCGTGCTTCGCTTCCATACGCACTCACACCCTAAAGGTAGTTGCATGGTCCCTTGCATGGTCCCTTAGCATGGTCCCTTAGCATTACCTTCGTCAAAAGGGTTCTGAAGTATGGGCCCCTGGGTTGCATAGGGTATATAAGGGGTATACAAGGGGTAGATAAGGGGCATCATATAAGGGGTCCCCTTTCAAGGGCTCATACTAAGGGGCCATGTAACTACCCTAAGAGATACCCTCACCTACCCTTCCCCTCCTCTACGGATTAATTGGAACATTTTGGGTCCTCAACACCCCAAGCCCGAGCACCTGCACCCATAACCCTAAACCCTACACCCTAAACCCTACACCCTAAACCCTAAATCCCTGAACCGCCACCAGGAACAAGCAGGAGCGTGCAGCCTTTCGCGAGCTGCTCTTCGGGGTGTCGTCCCTGGAGGCGCCGGTTGAGTGCCGTAATCTGCCATAATCTGCCCACATGACTTCCGAACGCCTGCAGCGAAGTCCTCGATGAAATCAGCATTTAGGAGTAACCCTAAGCCCTAAACCCTACAGTAAACCCTAAACCCTAGACCCTAGACCCCCCAAAACCCTAAACCCTAAAACCTCAACTCGAAACCCTAGGCTCCAAACTAGAATGCAAAGTATGTCGACCACGCGGCTGCAGTTCTTCGTGGGTGTAGCTTCCGCAACAGAAGCCCTAAATCACCCTAAACCCTAAACCCTAAACCCTAAACCCTAAACCCTAAACCCTAAACCCTAAACCCTAAACCCTAAACCCTAAACCCTAAACCCTAAACCCTAAACCCTAAACTCCAAGCCCTAAACCCTAAACCCTAAACCCTGAGCCCTAAACTCCAAACCCTAAACCCTAAACCCTCCAAAACCCTCGACCTGAATGTTCTCAGTGTCCAAACCTGGCAGCCGGCTTAGCTTTTCGAGCTTAAGAAGGTTTAAGGGATGAGTGTAATACCCGAAGCCCCGTCATTGCAACTCCAAGCCACGAACCCTAAACCCTAAACCCTAAACCCCAGACCTCGACCCCTCAACCCCTCAACCCCTCAACCCCTCAACCCCTAAGCCCCTAAGCCCCTAAGCCCTAAACCCAACCCCTAAACCCTAAACCCTAAACCCCTAAACCCTAAACCCCTACACCCTAAACCGAAACCCTAAACCCTAAACCCCAAACCCCAAACCCTAAACCCTAAACCCTAAACCCCAAACCCTAAACCCTAAACCCTAAGCGACACCAGAGGTCGATGCCGACTATGTGGTCCAGTGCCTCGTGCCGCAGGCTTGGGGATGAGTTGTTTGGCCCAGTGCGGATGTGGTGGTTTCCGAAATTCGGGTTTAGGGGTTTAGGGGTTTAGGGGTTTAGGGGTTTAGGGGTTTAGGGGTTTGGGGGTTTTGGGGTTTTGGGGTTTTGGGGTTTTGGGGTTTTGGGGTTTTGGGGTTTTGGGGTTTTGTGGTTTTGGGGTTTTGGGGTTTTGGGGTTTTGGGGTTTGGGGTGTTGGGGTTTAGGGTTTAGGGGTTCAGGGGTTACCTGAATGGGGTCCTCATTATAAGGGAATCCTTCTACTTGGGGATCTATTTTCGGGTCCCCTATGTTCGAAAACCCCCCATGTTGTCCTACACTTCTATAGAGGAGCAGTCAGATCCAAAGCGTCCTAGACAAATGTTAATGCTTCAAAATTGATGCTACAGCCATTAATCGGTTTCACTAATTGAACGAACCAACCGGCTTCATGAGCCCGTGCGCCCTAAACCCTATACCCTGGACCTTAAACCCCTAACCCCCGGCTTAGGGCTTAGGGTTTGGAGTTTAGGGACTTGTTTTATGTGTCGTTAGGGTGTCTATTGTTTTGGGGCTTGCAGGGCTTCAAGGGCTTCAGGGTTTTCGGGGTCGGGCTTGCAGTGCTTTAGGGGGTGCAAGGTTTTAGATCTCTGGGGGTAGATTCCAGCGTTTGAACACGAAGCCGAAAGCCGAACCAAGCACGTATACACACTATGAGCCCTAAAAGCCTGAACGGTAAACCCAAATGCCACGAACAAACCCTAAACCCTAGAAACCCTATCTTGGAGACCCCTCTCCACCCTAATCGCTCACCCAGCAACTTCCGTTTGTAAGCGTACTAGACCTACAGCCTCAAGCCTAAACCCAACACCCTAAGCCTGAAGTGTTATCGGCTAGGGCGAGTCCCCTAAATCCTAACCCCTAACCCCTAACCCCTAAACCCCAAACCCCAAACCCCAAACCCTAAACCCGAAACCCTAAACCCTAAACCCTAAACCCTAAACCCTAAACCCTAAACCCTAAACCCGAAGCTGGTCGATGGAGGCCCGCGTGCAGTTGGCAGAGCTCCGAAGGCGGTCTCCAGGATTTTGGGATGTGTTTGGGCTGGGGGTATGTCAGGGTTGAGGGTTTAGGGTTTAGGGTTTAGGGTTTAGGGTTTAGGGTCTAGGTTTTAGGGTTTAGGGTTTAGGGTCCAGGGTTTAGGGTCTGGGGTTTAGGGTTTAGGGTTTAGGGTACCCCCCCCATTATAATCCCGACTAAGGACTGCTAGTATAAGGGGCAATATCCCAGTATGACAGGGGAGGTTCACATCTGAGCTTCGAAGCCTCGTCTTCCACAAGCCCTTAAGGGGGGGGGGGGGTAAGATGGACACTTAAAGGCTATGCTGCACGTGCGTGCCTTGTAAACAAGTACTTTACAAAGGAAACACCCGCGGGCGTGGTTTAGGATTGGGGGGGGGGGGGGGGGTGGTTCAGGGTTTTCTGGGGGGGGGGTTTCCCAAAACCTGAAACCCTGAAACTGCCTACACCCCAAACCCTAAGCCCTAAGCCCTAAGCCCGAAACCCTAAACCCTAAACCCTAAACCCTAAACCCTAAACCCTAAACCCTAAACCCTAAACCCTAAACCCTAAACCCTAAACCCTAAACCCTAAACCCTAAACCCTAAACCCTAAACCCGTACCCCTTAAATGCCTCAGGCGCTCCAGGGTTTGGGCACCCAGGGTTGATGTTGCCGTTCCGGCCCCCTTGTGCTGGCTTGGGGAAGGGTACCTTGAGAAGGTTCATTAGGGCGCTGAGAAGTAGGGTTTAGGGTTTAGGGTTTAGGGTTTAGGGTTGAGGGTTTAGGGTTTAGGGTTTAGGGTCTACTTGAAGGTTCACACGGGCGAGGGAGAGCTCCTATAAAAAAAGAAATTGGCCTGAGAGTTTCTTGCCAACTGAGCAGCTTTGAGTGTGGAGTGGCTCAAGACCTCAGCTTCAGTTGATTCAATAGAGAAAGTATTTAGTTTTGATACTTGATTCCCTGATTTACGATACAGGGTTGCAAAGAGGGTTAGAAGCACCCTCAATAAGTTCAGAACCATACAGTAGTTTCCCTACTCAGAGCCTTACTTACAAGTACCCCATGAACATCCAAGTAAGGCTTTTCGTTCGGAGTCGGAGTTTATCGCGTTCTAGGTGTAGTCCCAGCTGCTCGTTCGTTTTTCCCCTGACGCTGCCTGCGAGAAACCCTATTCCTCGTTTCCCTCCCACCCTTTCTCTCCGGTTTGAGGCCCTTGCTCATCAACCTTTTCCAGGAGGCCGACGAGGACAAGAGCATCCTGGCACCAAGAAAGACCGCAGAACCCAAGCCTGAAACCCTTGACACCCCTCCCCCACCACAATGTGCTTCAAACAAAACTCTTCCAGGGTGCTTGGAGGTTCTGGTACTTCCTAGATTTTGGAGATGTAGGGCTTTCAGGCGAGGTTTTCAAAGATTCGGGGGTGGGCCTTGTAGAATGTTTCAGGCGAAGCAGACCGAATCGCCGGGCGTCTCCGCCATTCCCTTGAGTGCAACCTCTTCGGTCTTTGCGTCACCAAAAGCTGCCCGACTCTAAGCCCTACGCGATAGTGTAAAGTACACTCTTATCTGCTGAAGAACCCCTAAAAAGCGATGATGCTCGCTATATTTAAGGAAGACTGTTTTTAGCTTGAAACCCCCAAAACCACCAAACCCTAAAGCCTCAACCCTAAACACTAAACACTAAGAACCCTCAACCCTAAACCCTCAACGCTCAACGCTCAACCCTAAGCCCTAAGCCCTAAGCCCTAAGCCCTAAGCCCTAAGCCCTAAGCCCTAAGCCCTAAGCCCTAAGCCCGAAGCCCGAAGCCCGAAGCCCGAAGCCCTAAGCCCTAAGCCCTAAGCCCTAGCTTCAAAAGTCCCAAGCCCTGAAGACCGAGGGGGAGAGTTGTCCGTCGCCGAACTCCTCGCCGTGCTTGAGCGCAGCGGCTTCTACCCAACTCTCAACGAGGCCTCTTCTTGATTAGGTTTTTTAGGGCTAGGGTTTAGGGTTTCGTTTCGGGTCTAGGGTTTCGGGTTTGTGGTTTAGAGCCCGAAAACCTAAACCCCAAGCTCAGACCTCAGTCCTAAGCAAAATGTGCTACGTGAGCTTTCTAGGTCTTGGCAGCGCCGTGGTACCCTTTGCCCTTTTTTTGGTTCTGGGTTCCCGTATGAAGTATGCAACCCACAAAAAGGGGTGCCCTTATTTTACGGGTTTGGGGTTTGGGGTTTGGGGTTTCGGGTTTAGGGTTTAGGGTTTAGGGTTTAGGGTTTAGGGTTTAACCTCCTATTGAGTCCCGGGTTCTCTGCCGGCGAAGCAGGTCGTAGAGGCCGTGGTCGAAGTTATCCCTGGCGCGAGCACGCTGACGAACATGGAGGGGAAGAGCCTTGGCTCTGTAAGGGTTAGGGTTTAGGGTTTAGGGTTTAGGGTTTAGGGTTTAGGGTTTAGGGTTTAGAGTTTAGGGTTTAGGGTTTAGGGCTCGGCCTCAAAAATGGGGCATAGCCGGAGTGTATCTCAGGGCCCGGGGCAGCTTGCTGGGCAAAACTCCCATTCCTACCTAATGTTCCTTGAAGTTTCCCGAGATATGGGGGTTTCCGAAATTGGGGGGTGCCTTATTGGGGGGTGCTGATTAAAAGGGACTCCTACTATTTGGGGTCGATATTGGGGTCCCCTATTTCATAAACCCCCGTATAGGCGTGTTTAAGATCCCGCCCCACCCCCCCCATATTCTTTTGGATATCAGCAGGGATCCTAAACCCCTAAGCCCCAAACCCTAAACCCTAAACCCTAAACCCTAACCCTAAACCCTAAACCCTAAACCCTACACCCTAAACCCTAAACCCTAAACCCTAAACCCTAAACCCTAAACCCTAAACCCTAAACCCTAAACCCTAAACCCTAAACCCACCCTAACCTACCCTAAACCCTAACCCTAAACCCACCCCCCCCCCCCCCCCCCTCCCCCCCTCTGTCCCTAGGATGCTGCTGGACCGCATCTCAGTGTCCTTGGCCCACTTCCGCATCCTCGCCCCGCTGCTGCAGGTCCGACTGGCTGTTGGTTCCAAGGGTCTAGGGTTTCGGGTTTAGGGTTTAGGGTTTAGGGCTTAGGGTTTAGGGTTTAGGGTTTAGGGTTTAGGGTCTTCCTAGGGAAGGACGAACCGCTGCATCATTTTACGATTGCTACTATCGATGGCGCAATGGCTGTGATTGCTACAGGTATGAACTAGTACTACTGTCACTGAAGCATGACAGCCCGCCAGTCATGCCCTTGTCATCGACTTTGCCCCCCTCCCCCCCCCTCAGAAGTTTAGGGTTTAGGGGTTTAGGGGTTTAGGGGTTTAGGGGTTTAGGGGTTTAGGGTTTAGGGTATCAGGGAAGCCCCTCCTCCCCATCCCCAGCTAATTTTAAGCCTTGGGGGGGTTTGCTAGAGCTAGGAAGGCATGTTTCTTTCGCGTCGCAGTATGTTGTCGATGATTTTGCAAATGAGGGGTTGACTGCCTCTTGCACAGGGACACGCCGCCCCACCTCTTTCACTGCGCCGCAGCTTTAAAACAACTAAGCACCCCAGCCGGTAAGAGCTCAGAACTGCTCTGTCCACCTGCACTCTAGTCAAAGCGTCGGAATAGTTACTAATGGTATCCCCTTATGGTTCCTGTATATTCATATTGTAACAACCCCCAAAACCCATTCTAATGATTCAGGCCTGGTATTAGGTCAGGGTTTGCGCTTCCTTCTTGAGGGCACATGTCGTGTTTGGCTCTTGGAGCTACAGTTGTTGGGCTTCCGGCTTTCTAGGTGTACCTGCTCCAAAGCTATGCTAGCTAGTGCCTTAGGGGTTCCCATATTGCGCGGGAGGAGGGGGTCTGAGGGACATTTGCAGCGTTTTCGCGGCGTGTAGAGCCTGGGCGCCTTTTCTTTCTCGGGCTCCCCTAAACAACCCTAAACCCTAAACCCTAAACCCTAAACCCTAAACCCTAAACCCTAAACCCTAAACCCTAAACCCTAAACCCTAAACCCTAAACCCTAAGCCCTAAGCCCTGAACCCTAAACCCTAAACCCTAAGCCCTAAGCCCTAAGCCCTAAACCCTAAACCCTACACCCTGACCAGGAGAGAGCAGAATACTCGCGCCGCGCACGCGCGCAGTTGATCAGTGAGGAGTCGCACATGGGCCATGCAAATCAGAATTTCCATTCTGGCCCAAAACTGCGGTTTAGGGCTCAGGGTTTGGGGTTCAGGTTGTGGGGTTTCGGGGCTGGGAATTCTAGCGAAAACGCTGTACGACCTAAGCCTAAACCTTCGGTCGCTAGGACCCAGAGTAGGCCGTTATTCCCTTTTCTAGGGGGTTTAGGTTCCCTTATCAGCCCCTTTAAACGCAAAAGGGGCACCTTTTTTTTCCTGGGCCTAGGTTGTGGTTTGTTGTCCTCTGAAATCTCATGGCTTCGAGATTTTCGGGCCTGGGGGGGCGCTGAAAGAGCACAGTTTGGAGACTTAAAGAGGGGCCTGTGAGGGTTGATTTCAGGGTTGGAGTGTAGACCCTAAACCCTTGAACCCGAGCTCCTAAGCCAAGTGTGGTTTGCAGCTACGGCCCCCAAAAAACTCCAAGAATTGCCCATACTTGACCCTTCACCCCAACTACCTACTCGATGTTATGCCTTAGTCTCGATATTTGGAGGTTTGTGGATGCTTAATGAGCAGGGTGATGAGTAGGGTAGCTCTGGATATAGCTTATTTAGGGCACTTGTAGCCCTGATTGGGAATACGGTAACCCTAAACCCTAAACCCTAAACCCAAAACCCAAAACCCAACACCCAAAACCCAAAACCCAAAACCCAAAACCCTAAACCCTAAACCCTAAACCCCAAACCCTAAACCCTAAACCCCAAAAAGGGTACCCTTGCCATAATATGGTTGCTGGGCTACCAGGACGTGGACCAAAAGCCCCCACACTCTGGACTTGGGACGTTCCCCCTTTCTCTAACAGTCCTTAATGGGGATTATGGCAAGGTACTCTAAACCCTAAACCCTAAACCTTATAAACCCTAAACCCTAAACCCTAAACCCTAAACCCTAAACCCTATACCCTAAACCCTAAACCCTAAACCCTATACCCTAAACCCTAAACCCTAAACCCTAACCAAGGACTGTGAGTCTTATGGGGGAACATCCCAACTTTAGACCCTAAATTGCACGCATGTCATTCCGCCGAGCCTTGGAAGGAACTGGACCTCGATGAGCGCAAGCGGCAGCTGTGGCAGGACCGATGTGTAGCAGCAGCTTTAGGGTTTAGGGTTTAGGGTTTAGGGTTTAGGGTTTAGGATGGCCCACAATGCAAGGGAGGGGGGTCCCCAGATTCCCTTCTTAGCACTTAGGGGGAAGATGGGACCCTTACACACCCCCCCCTCCTGTCCCTTGGAGTCGGTCTGCACAGCCTACGGTAGCTTCAACCGAACTCTACCCGGTCGTTCAGGGTTTAGGGGTTAAGGTTCAGGGTGGGGTGGAGCGGAGTGGAGAATTGGCCGAGGCACACGCGCCTGGCCTAAGACAAAAGCGACACCTCCGGCCGAAGCTTAAGGTGCCAAGGTGCCCGCGGGAACAACAGACGAAGCAACAGGCAGCAGCCACCACGACGATCACGGTACCCCTCTCGCCCCTCCCAACAAACAGAAGAAAGAAAGAGGTGAGCTGCGGTACAAAAACAAAAGGGAAACCCAAGGAGCAAGCCCTGGCGAAGAGCGCGGCCGCGAAGGAAACGAGCATGCTGGAGGAAGAGGCCAATCACAAGCCAAGGAGCACAAAGCAACGACAAAAACACGGCACTGTCGCCCCGGTGTGCCTTTGCGTGCGAGCTTACATGGGTTCTTGTCGGACTGGGGACGGGTCACCAGCCCTTGGAGCCGCTCCTGAGGTCCCAGTAGCTAACCGCATGAGAGGGAAAGAAGACCGACAGCGGGCCCAGGGGTTCGGGTTTAGGGTTTAGGGTTTAGGGTTTAGGGTTTAGGGTTTAGGGTTTAGGGTTTAGGGTTTAGGGTTTAGGGTTTAGGGTTTAGGGTTAGGGTTTAGGGTTTAGGGTTCAGGGTTTAGGGTTCAGGGTTTACTTGAAGCAGCCCTTGGCCTTACAGCCCAGGCGTAGCAGGCCTCACCCTAAGACGCCAGTGCAAAAGGGCCACGATCTCGAGTGTGGCTGACCAACATTCTAGGCCCGAGGGCATATGGTCATCACGAACTTAGTGGCTGTGGGTACCGAAGTACTACTTAAGTAGAGAACCTTCCCCCCCAAATATGTATATATAATATATAAAAAAGCAAATAAATAAAACAAATACATATACATAAGGGTAGAAGTTCCCACAGCATTTACCCCAAACCCTAAACCCCAAACCCCAAACCCCAAACCCCAAACCCTAAACCCTAAACCCTAAACCCCAAACCCTAACCCAAATCTTGCGAATCTCAAGGCCTCAACATCCCTGAGTTCCAAACGCTCCTCATGGTCAGCGCTCTAGCATATGATCCCTCACAAGTCGGGTTGACGGCTTTCAGGGCGCTGGGTTTTTAAAGGGTTTAGGGTTTAGGTTTAGGGTTTAGGTATAGGGTTTAGGGTTTAGGGTTTAGGGTTTGGGGTTTAGGGTTTAGGGTTTAGGGTTTAGGGTTCAGGGTCCTATAAGAGGGTCTTCGGATTTTAGGGTTCAGGTTGTTCTGAGGGTGTAGAGTATGGGCCAGGATGGCCTGGTGGACTTCCGCGAAGCCTTCGACAAGCGCCGGGTGGAGCAATATTACATCCAGGCGAAATCCACCCTCCTCCCAACCAGCCCAAACCCCGAGTTCTCTATTAGGTTCCCTTTTTTTGGGATCTCTTTTCAAAGGGCGCCGCCTTATAATGGGTACCCCAAAAGGGACCCTAATGTAGAAAACTACTCACATAAGTGGGTGAAATCGGCTGGCCACTTGAGCCTCCACTTCCAGAGGACAAGTTTGAGTGAGAGAGAGAGAGAGAGATTCGGGATGCTTGCAGTGCACATGATAGGAGCCAAGAGGCCACGGCATCGTTTTAAAGTTGGCTTCACAACAAGCCCTATCTTCTTTTAAAAAAACTGGATTTTGGGAAGGGCTTGGCTTCAAGGAGGCCCCCTATTCATACGCGTCCCACATTGAACCCTAAACCCTAAACCCTAAACCCTAAACCCTAAACCCTAAACCCTAAACCCTAAACCCTAAACCCTAAACCCTAAACCCTAAACCCTAAACCCTAAACCCTAAACCCTAAACCCTAAACCCTAAACCCTAAACCCTAACCTAAACCCTAAACCCTAAACCCTAAACCCTAAACCCTAAACCCTAAACCCTAAAACCTAAACCCTAAACCCTAAACCCTAAACCCTAAACCCTAAACCCTAAACCCAAAACCCTAAACCCTAAACCCTAACCCCTAAACCTAAACCCTAAACCCTAAACCCTAAACCCTAAACCCTAAACCCTAAACCCTAAACCCTAAACCCTAAACCCTAAACCCTAAACCCTAAACAGCTCAGCTCAACCCTAACACCACTCCCGTGCAGATCGCGAGTCTCCCCCTGGTCTTGCTGGACATCGAGATGATGCCCAAGAAAGGACCCCTAAGCCGACACGATTTTGGGGGTTTAGGGTTTAGGGTTTAGGGTTTAGGGTTTAGGGTTTAGGGTTTAGGGTTTAGGGTTTAGGGTTTAGGGCTTAGGGCTTAGGGCTTAGGGTTGTTAGGGTTGAAGCACTAATGATTTAGGGTTTACTTGGAGGTTCCTGGGTACTTACATTACAAGTAGGGTTATAAGTAGGGTAACCATGGTTATCTCCTATGTATAGTACTTCTAACTCCTCATGAACCTTCAAGTAGGGTTTAGGGTTCGGGAGGCCCATGAGCACTCAAATTCTGCAAAGAAGCCTCACCCTAAGCCTTTAAAATCCCATTAACCTTCAAGCCTACACCCCTGAGCCCCAACCGCAGGAAGGATGAACGGAGGTTACCCTACTTGGCCTGGTGAGATTTAAGGTCCTACGCGTTTAGAGGTTTGGGATAGTTGTCAGAGGGTTTGGGGATTTTGGGGATTGGTTTGCGTGTTTTGTGAAGAAGGAACAGAGTGCGAATGCTGGGAGCACCCGGGGCTCGCATGAACGTAGGGTTTTGGGGTTGCGGGCTTAGGGTCTAGAGTCTAGGGTTTAAGGTCGCGAGGGCTTGCGACACAAGCTACATTAGGGTTTAGGGTTTAGGGTTTAGGGTTCTGCTCAACAGACTCTTGCAGGTTTGTTGACATTCCAGCTTTTGTGGCAGAAGCCCGGCCCGGCTTCCCAACAAGAACCCGAAAACCCTGGCCATCGCCGTTTACGGCTTAGGGTATAATTAGGGTTTAGGGTTTAGGGTTTAGGGTTTAGGGTTTTTGGTTTAGGGTAATCCTTAACCTGGCCACCCCAGAGACCCAACATCACGGAACCCCTGAGCCCTCAACGCCACTTCCAGATTGCGCTGCGGAGCATGACCCCTGCAACCTCAACGTTGCTAGCCACAGCGCCAAACCCAATGCCCCCACTCCAACACTGCTGGGGGTTCTTGAAGATAGGGATTCAGGGTGTGTGAGGACCCACCCAAGCACTGCTGCAGTCTCTGGCGCAGGCTTGCAATTGGAGTTTGTTTGGACTCCTTTGGCAGTCAGTCAGTTGTGGTGATTTCTCCTCCCCCCCCCCCCTCGCCCCCCCAAAAAAGCAAAAACACAAGAACCATCCTCAATAACTCGCAGGAACAGATGGTACGTTATACTGTGAATCCTTACGGAATTTTACCCTAGACCCTATATCGAGACCCCAAAAGTACGTCGTAGACTTCAGGGATGTTTTGCCTCAGTGGCCCAAACAAAAAGCAGCACCCCTAGCATAAGGACGCCCAAAGTTCTAATGGTAGTAATAGGGTTCAGGTTAGGGCTTAGAGTAGCTACATGGTCCCTATGGCCCCTCAATTGCAATCACCTACAAGGCGTTGAAGGCTCAGATGCGGAGCATAGCGTGGAACTGTCATCCCAGATGGTGAAAAGGACCATGTGGACCACATTCCGGAGAACCGTCTGATCATGATCCGTAGATCCTGACACCCGTTATGCAACCCTAGACCCCAGAAACGGTCTAGTGCATGGGGTTTAGGGTCTAAGGTTGTTGAGCTTGTATAGTGTTTGGGACCCCCAAAAAGTTTCGGGCGGTTTTGGGCGAGAGCCTCTGGCAAGAGACGTTGATTTGCCTTGGGGTGGGCTTAGGGTTTAGGGTTTAGGGCTTAGGGACCTTAGAAATCGAATATGCTTCGGGGCAGGTTTTGAGCAGAACAGGTTGGGATTGAAGTTGTAGGCTAAAGGTTTGGACGCTAGTGTTGTGCAGTTTTTTTAAGGCGTCAGGAATACAGAAACCGCTATACAACTTCAACCATCAGGTCCTTGAGGGTTTAGGGTATTCTAGGGCCAAGGAACCCTAAATTCTAAACCCTGAACACTAAAGCCTAAACCCTAAACCCTAAACCCTAAACCCTAAACCCTAAACCCTAAACCCTAAACCCTAAACCCTAAAGCCTAAACCCTAAACACTGAACCCTAAACCCTAAACCCTAAACCCCAAACCCTAAAGCCTAAAGCCTAAACCCTAAACCCTAAACCCTAAACCCTAAACCCCAAACCCTAAACCCTAAACCCTAAACCCTTAGCGGTCTAGAGGCTTCTTCCCCTATCATTCTGGTTCATGGGCAAGCCTGGGCCCGAAGCGGTTTAGGGTTTAGGGTTTAGGGTTTAGGGTTTAGGGTTTAGGGTTTAGGGTGATCCTCAGGAGGCAAGGTCCCAAGGTCCCGCACCAGACAGTCGTGGGCCCTGAAACCTCTAAGCCCCAAATTCCTAAGCCCCAAACCTCTATAAGCCCCAACAGCCTAAACCCCTACGAGGATGGGCTATTAGGCCTTAAGATCACCATCATGAGCCCTAGCAAGGGCCTTTTACAGGATTATAGGGTGCAATCGCCCATCCTGGTAAGCCCCTATCCCCGGAACCCCTGCCCCAAAGCCCCAAAGCCCCAAAGCCCCAAAGCCCCAAAGCCCCAAACCCTAAACCCTAAACCCTAAACCCTAAACCCTAAACCCTAAACCCTAAACCCTAAACCCTAAAGCCCGAAACAATCAACCCTTAAACCCAGAACACGTTAAGCACTTTAACCCTATACGAGTCACTAGGGCTGAGGGAATCCTACAGACCCAAGCCCTACCGGTTTAGGGGGTTAGGGTTTAAGTTTTAGGGTTTAGGGTTTGGGGTTTGGGGTTTATGGTTTAGGGTTTAGGGTTTAGGGTTTAATTAGGGTTTAGGGGGGACTTTGAATGGGGTACTCGTAGGGGGTGTTGGTTATTGCGGCTTTGTTTCGCCCTAAACCCTCAAACCCTGCGCCCTAAACCAACCCTAAACCCCAAACCCCAAACCCTAAACCCTAAACCCTGAACCCTAAACCCTAAACCCTAAACCCTAAACCCTAAACCCTAAACCCTAAACCCCAAACCCTAGACGCCCTGAAGCTACGACCAGGAAGAGCTGTCGAAGGCCGAGCCCAACGAGCAGCACCTTGTTCTGCATTTCAGGAGTCCGGGGTTTAGGGTTTAGGGTTTAGGGTTTAGGGTTTAGGGTTTAGGGTTTCGAGTTTAGGGTTTAGGGTTTAGGGTTTTTTTGGTTTAGGAAGTAAGGTTTCATGGAGGGTTCATGGAGGGTTCAGGGAGTTTAGGGAGTTTAGGGAGTTTAGGGAGTTTAGGGAGTTTAGGGAGTTTAGGGAGTGTAGGGAGTTTAGGGAGTGTAGGGAGTGTAGAGAGTTTAGGATTCAGGGTTCAGGGTTTAGGGGGTGCGCTTGCTGCAGCATTTCGTTTTGTATAAGAAAGTCGTGTGTGTGTGTGTGTGTGTGTGTGTCTTGCTGCTTGTTGCTTGGTTTGCTGTGGCAGGGCAGGGGGCTTGAGGTTGTTCAGGGCGGACAAGGGATGTCAAGGGTGCCTGCAAGGAGTCGCGTGTGGTTCGTAGTAGGAAGGGCAGCTGATGGTCTCCTCTGGGCACCGCAGGTCGAGGACTCCATAGTGCAAGAGCGAAGCCAAAAGGGAACCCGAAACCCTAAACCCCCTAAACCCTAAACCCTAAACCCTAAACCCTAAACCCTAAACCCTAAACCCTAAACCCTAAACCCTAAACCCTAAACCCTAAACCCTAAACCATGAATGGATAGCTGCTTGGAATAGAGAATCTGGCGGAAAATGGCCAAGGCGAGCGAAGGATCGGCTGACTTTCCGGCAGTGCGCGCGGCACCTCCGCTGAATGTTGCAGATCCTGGTGCCCTAAACCCTACCCTAAACCCTAAACCGTGAACCCTAAACCCGAAGAACCCTATACCCTATACCGTAAAACCCTAAACCCGACCTCTGCGCTCGAAAAAGGGTGACCCCAGCTTGCAAAAAACCCACCTCTAATTTCCTACATCCTTACAGACCCAAGACTGCCTCAGGGGTAGAATCGTAAATGTTCGGCTTCCACCTCGCTCAAAAACCTGCCGGTTTAGGGTTCAGGGGTTGAGGGGTTTAGGGTTGTTCACCTTGAGTCCAAGCGCTTCAAGTTACAGGCTGTCCGTCGGGCAGCACCGTTGCTCAATAATCTCATAAGGCGTGGCCCAGGATGTTCCTGCCGAGTGGTCATTGCTGCGTTCGGGTTTGGGGTCCCCGAACACGAAGCCCTTTGTGTGTTCGCTGCTGCGCCTTCTCTTCCCCTTTATGCCTTCTCTTCCCCTTCAAGCCGAAGTCCTGAAGGTCACAAGAAAGCAGCGCTCCCCAGTTGCTAGAAGACTCTTTCGGGCTCAAGAGCAGAGGGTACCCGAACACACCCCAACCCCAAATCCCCCGACTGGGTTTCCAAAACTCGGGGTCCTTTTAAAGGCGACTCTGGGTATAGTGGGGCATCCTATAATCTTTGGAAACTTCCCTGTACTCCTCAACAGACTCCCGATTATGACATATTGATCCCGGCGCCAGGGTGCTGACGCACATCCGCGAGAAGGACGCAGAGGGAAATCTCGACACCCTTTTAGGGAATGCTCCAAGTATACAACTAATGCCCACATTGGGGTGTAAAGTCTGTAAAGAATACCTACTTTGGGCTATTTGGAGCTTTAGGGTTGAGGATGCTTAAAAAGGATCTGGGGGACAACACAGTTGTGATTTTACTGTGGGTCCCTCCCCTAAGGCCTACGCTGTCAGCCCCAGAGCACCTAAACCCTGCACCCTAAACCCTAAACCCTAAACATTGAGGGCTTGCTCCCCAGGGCTTGTTGATTAGGGTTTAGGGTTTAGGGTTTATAGGGTTTATAGGGTTTATAGGGTTTATAGGGTTTATAGGGTTTATAGGGTTTATAGGGTTTATAGGGTTTAGGGTTTAGGGTTTAGGGTTTAGGGTTTAGGGCTTAGGAATCTTCACCATTCTCCTACCCCCCTCCCTGGTGTCCCGGTGCCAGGTGTGGGCCTGGAGAAGCCCACAGAGAGTCTCGCCGAGTATCCCTGGAGTGGTCTCGGAGAAGCCTGCGAACCCTAAACCCTAAACCCTAAACCCTAAGCCCTAAACCCTAAACCCTAAACCCTAAACCCTAAATCCTAAACCCTAAACCCTACACCTCCTGCAGTGCCCAATGGCAGAGAAGCCCGCAGAGAGTCCTGCCGAGTACCGTTGGAGTGTCCACCACCAGAGAATCGGTTTAGGGTTTAGGGTTTATATGGTTTAGGGTTTAGCGTTTAGGTTTTCGAGTCCCGCCGAGTATCCCTCAAATGCCCCGCCCCAGAAAATTCTGCGGAGAGTCCCGCGACACAAGCCAGCGGCGAAATATCCTTAATTGCAAACTAACTGCCACATCGGTTAGCTGTAGGGTAGGGATGATCGTAGCAACACGTTCACGGTTCCGTATTGTAAGGTTCAAGGTTTAGGATTTAAGGGAAGGTGTCCGTGGGGCCAGTTGTGTCACTTTTCACTTTTTGGTACCTTCAGCTAGAAGAAATGCGCGATAAGTTTAGGCTTGAGGGTTTAAGGTTCCATGATTGTTGGTAGAGTTTTGAGGCTGAAGTTGCATGTAGAAGAAATTAGGCTTTGTTGGGGTTATTAGTATGAACTCAGAAAGCTGTTCAGGGCACACGCTTACGATATATGGTTGAAGCCCAACATGTGCGGGGGATTCAGCATCAACCTTATCCCCTTAGCTCAAGGGATCCGAAGGAAACCCCATGGTCAAGCGGTGAGGCTACGCGCAAGTGGCTCTTTCCGGTCGAGAACCTCGTAGATGAAACTAAAATGGCTGCAAGGACGAAGGACGCATTGCCGCACAAGCGGCAGGTAAACACGAGGAGTGCAATCAACAACATTCAATCCTCGGGCCGCGCCGTGGCCCGATGAATGTTCATGTTCATGTTTCTGTTAGCAGTGGGACATCTTGCAGACGCAGCGTGGTGAAACTCAGCCCTGCTACCATGACCCCGTGTGCAGAACGGGAACAAGAATAAAAGCAATGAAGCCCCCCCTTCCCCTTCACTGCTGCAAGTTTTGCTCAGCAAATTTCAGGCTTCGAACCGAATAATACTCCTTAGCACTTCCTTGCTCTCCCTACGTTCCGTTTCCAATACTTGCTATGAGTTCGTGCGAATGTCGGAGCGGTTGTTCTTCACGGGGCGTTGTGGATTTGTGGGATATCCAGCTGCCAGCGAAACTCATGACTTCTGGAAGCCGTAGACTCGTACAGTGCATTCGCGACAGAGATTGGGAGTTGAGCGCCGACTGTAAGTCTTTAAACCGGCTTCAGATTGCGCATGTCTTTAACTTCCGGAGCTACATTCGCTTTTGTCAGGCATCGCGCGGCTCACGTGCCTTCATCACTGAGTTTACAAATCGTTGCTTGTTAATCGGGTTTATCTCGCAAAGTGCCGGGCCTGAAAGCGACGGAGACAAAGATGCATCTGTGTGAAAAACAACTCATGTGGATGCAAGGCCCCCCGTACCCCGTTTCAGACCTTGTCAAAAGCCACAATGGGCATTTAGAATTTAGAGTTAGAGGGGCATAGTAGTGCTTTTTTTGCCGTAGCCTGCTATCTTCGGGCCAGGGAGATTTTGCGTGGTCGTTTTGTGTGAATACCACCCATTTATCCCAATCTCGTGTTGAGTACTCTCACCTCGCGCGGGGTTTCAATCCCACATGATGCGCACTTTGTGGCTGTTCCGGGAGGGTTTGTTTTGGGGTCAGGGTCTACAATAGACCCTCAACTTCCAACTCCTAAAGCAGGAGTGCGACAGGGTGGTGGCCATTTTTCGGGCCAGCGACGCGGACGGCACGAATGGCCTGAGTGTGCAGGCGCGCGTTCGGGCCTCGTGTTCCGGTTCGGGGTGTCGGGTTGTGTTGCAGAGTTTAGGGCTGAAGGCGTCTGATAGTAGGGTTTATACGGTGTCTGTGTTTCACAAGGTTTACGAAAAAGGCTTACAAGGCTTACAATGGAAGTCAGGATGGTCCATGTGACAGCGGATGCAAAGCATTACCCCTAGGCTCTACACCCTGGGCACGATCCTTTGGGGACAATTCAGGTGAAGCCACATATTTCGTCCTGATAGGCCGAAACCCTAGACCCCGTATGTATTTCGTATTTAACAGCCACCCTGCCTGGGATCTCCCCTCCTTAGGCTGTCGTTAACTCCTCAGTTTAACGCCTTTAGCCCTAAATCCCAAAACCCCATCTTATTGCCGAGATCAATCTTGTGGCCTTTGGCTCCAATCCAGGGTGTAGGCTGTTCAGCATCAATGTTTAGAAGGAACCTCGATCTAAGCTGTTTAGTGTGCTTTAGCAGGGTTCGCGGGGTTTCCTGTAGTTTGGAGTTTCTTACCCGGCTGGCAATGGCACTGCTCTGCCTTGTCCCACTCGTGGCTCTGCTATGCATGCGTGCCCTCGCAAACCCTGGCTTGCGCAGCACTGAGCCAAACCTGAGGTCGGTTTGCCGGAAAGCTCAAATGAAATTGGTTCCTTCTTGGAGGTCCGTTAGAGTTTTGCACTGAGGACGTGTAGTATTGCAGCGTAGTAGGGCTTAGTAGGGTTTAGGGTTTAAGGTGCAGGGTTTAGGGTTTGGAGCTTGGGGTGTTACTCAAGATTCCCCGACCTTGGTTAGCTACAAGGCTCGACGGGTGAGCAGAAGATGTGGAACCTTTGACAAGCCAGGTTGCTATGCTGCTTAACCCATTTGGGGCTTTACGAAAATAGGGGACCCCCCAAAAAACCCCAAATAGTAGGATTGTCCTAATAAGGACCGATGATGAGGTAATTACCCTTCCCCATGTTCTTGGGAGCCCAGTGGTACCCTTCTGTGTTGTTTTTCTTGTTTTGTTTTGGGTTCACTTATTACAAGGTGGTTGCTTGGCTGCCAAGTTTTGTATGCCCTGAACCCGACATGGGTTCCTGAATCCTCCAACTGCACCAAGAATCTGACTTGCTCTTGGAACAGGCCCAAATGATCCATGAGGGCTAGCAGCAGGGCTTGATCGACGCTTTTTTCCCATAGTTGGCCGTGTTTCCCCAGAGACTCCAATACCCCTTAAGTAAGGAATATTCCTTAACATATACTAGGAACACTAAACCCTAAACCCTAAACCCTAAACCCTAAACCCTAAACCCTAAACCCTAAACCCTAAACCCTAGACCCTAGACCCTAGACCCTAAACCCTAAACCCTGAACCCTAAAGACCCTAGACCCTAAACCCTAAACCCTAAACCCATGGTTTAAGGAATATTCCGTGCTTAAGGGTTGTTGGAGTCTCCGGGTCGAAGCTAGTTATGAACCCTACACGCTCCTACTGCTTAGTCCTCTATACGAAGCCGTGTCTGGAGCAACTTCGCACTTCAAAATTAGAATATGTACCTCGAGCACCCCAGAACGAGGCACGGGCACCGTAGGAATCATGGTATAGCATTGTGCATTCAGGGATAATCTGCTGGGGCTTCATGGGTACTTAGAAGTAGGGCAAGTACGTACCCTAAATGAGGTTAGAACCATAGTTACCCTATAACCCGAAACCCTAGACCCTAAACCGGTACTCATAACCCTGCCGACTCTCTGCAAGACTCCTTTCTGCGGGCACACTCGCAGGGATGTCAGCTAAGTTCGAGTCCACGCAACACCCGGGATGGGGAACGAAGGTCTCCGCCCCCAAGCATGAAATCGCACAATATGGAGTATATATGTCGGAAATACAAAAAACACAAGTGCGAGACTCATCATGAGAATGCTACTTTTGATGCTCATCATCATCACAATAGTATATTCACAATTCGAATACTGAGCATAAGTCAACCCGAAGCCAGTACGCCAGAGGAGCAACGCCACTTCTGGGCCACGTGAGGGCTGCTGCACCTCCTGCGGGGCGCCATACTGCTCGCCAATCAGCGGACGGTGCTACACTACGAAGGATGCTGTGGCCCTAAGGGGTCCACGTACCGATATAGTATATACTTGGGCCTTAAGGGGTTTCCCATATAGTAGTTTCAGGGCCCAAGTATAGACGATATAGGTACATGGACCCTCAGGGTGGATGTCGGAGGTGACAAACGGAAGGCATGTTCTACTTGGAGTTCACGGTATCCGGGTAGTTTAGGGTGGTTCTGCGATTGCGCGGTTGTACTTCCAAGTAGGGAACATGGGGTTTCGTTGAGACCTGGGGACTTTTCTGAATCACGGGAGGACAAGGCCTACTACCTGGAGTGCGGAACCGACTCCTATGATCTTCCGCGGCTGAACTCCACCGCCGGGAGCTGTTGCAACGCTTGTGCCACCGCTTTCTGCTCCCCGAGCAGCGGGCGCTGCTACGACGCAAGGAAGAAGCACTACTACATCGGGTGTACACAAAGTACCCCAGCACATACTCTGCGGCCCAAGGCAGCAAGGTTTCAGTTCCGAAACTTCAGCGGCTGCAGCGCTACTTCCCATGAAGTTGGACACGCCTCTGCTACCTCGGCTCATGCCTGCGAGGCGCTGTGCGAAGCTTCGCAGGGATGCATGGCGTTCCTCTTCGGTCGGCGGCATGGCAGCTGCGGAAATTTTCTGGGCTCCTGCCACCTCTACACGTCCTGCTTCCCAGAGAACAACCCCTGCTGGGGACAGTACCTCCGGATGCCATGAGGGCAGACAAACTGCCCACTTAAAGGCTTTCTGGAAGCTGTACAGTACAGAGCCTACACGATGCCAGGTCGAAGACAACCTTCACTGGCTTTCGTCAAATTTTAGGGGGGTCCCGGTCACGGTGCCATGCACTCGTGGTCGTTTCGACCCCTAAACCCTAAACTTAAACCCTAAACCCTAAGCACTAAACACTAAACCCTAAACCCCAAACCTCGGAAGGCCCACCAGCTTTGGGAAAAAAGACCTACCTGCGCTGCTTTTGCGAGTAGCTTCCCGCAAAGCCCGGCTCGCTTAAACTGAACCCTTTCAAACCCTAAGCCCTAAGCCCTAAGCCCTAAGCCCTAAGCCCTAAACCCTAAACCCTAAACCCTAAACCCTAAACCCTAAACCCTAAACCCTAAACCCTAAACCCTAAACCCTAAAACCTAAACCCTAAAAAACCCTAAACCCTTAAACCCTAAACCCTAAACCCCTAAACCCTAAAAACCCTAAACCCCTAAAACCCTAAACCCTAACCCTAAACCTAAACCCTAAACCCCCTAAACCCTAAACCCTAACCCTAAACCCTAAACCCTAAACCCTAAACCCTAAACCCTAAACCCTAAACCCTAAACCCTAAACCCTAAACCCTAAACCCTAAACCCTAAACCCTAAACCCTAACCCTAAACCCTAAACCCTAAAACAATAAACCCTAAACCCTACAAACCAAAAAAAACCGGAGCCCTGGATCTCGAAGGAAGCCCGGAAGTGTCTCTCTGCCTGCGGCATCGTGGCCCAGCACGAGAAGGAGCCAGCGTACGCTTCTACAAAGCTCTTTAGGTTTTAGAGTTTAGGGTTTAGGGACTTCTCTGCCCATTACGCGGCTGTAAACGCAGCTTCCTGCCGCTTGCTGTCTGCAGCTGAGCCGGATTCCGGGTTCCCAAGGGTTCATTTGGGGGTTTTGGGTTGTGATTCCTGAACCCTAAACCCTAAACCCTAAACCCTAAACCCTAAACCCTAAACCCTAAACCCTAAACCCTAAACCCTAGACCCTAGACCCTAAACCCTAAACCCTAAACCCTAAACCCTAAGCCCCAAACCCTAAACCCTAAACCCTAAACCCTAAACCCTAAACCCTAAACCCTACCGCAGTTCGTCGCCAGGAAGAGAACGAAATTTCCGAGCTGATGGACGAGCGCCTTGAGCATAAGAACCCTTCTGAACTGCAAAAGCCTGTACTTCACAACGCCTATTGCGCCCCAAGCCCCACAAACCCTCTCTGTCCCAGATGCAGTGGTTTGAGGGTTTGCAGGAAAAACCTATACCCTAACCCCAAACCCCAAACCCCAAACCCTAAACCCAAAACCCCAAACCCTAAACCAGCCAACCAAGTAATGGACCAAATGCGCTCATGGTGAGTGCCTCTTCCACACACCCCCATTCTAGCCAGCAGAGCGTGCACGTCCAGACCCTGCTCCCCAAACCCTGAACTCTAAACCCTGAACCCTTCTACAAAAATATACAGTGTAGAATTAATATATAGTACAATACATGTGTACGTACAAATATTTGTATTTATACATATATATATATATGTATATATACATATGTACGTTTGTATACATTGGTACATATTCACATATACTATATACACATATATACTTATATATATATATATGCACCTACATATACATACATATATACACATATATACTATATATTATAATCTGTATATATATATATACACATGTAGACAGCTCTGTACATACACCTAGACCACCGTGAACTTTGGAGCCCTGGAAGCCTCAGCGCGCGAACCGCACCGAAGGTTTGACATCGACGAGTCCGGGGAGCTTGAGTTGGACGAGTTCTTGGCCTTGGCTTCTCGATGGCAGCTTTAGGGTTTAGGGTTTAGGGTTTTAGGGTTTAGGGTTTAGGGTTTAGGGTTTAGGGTTTAGGGTTTAGGGTTTAGGGTTTAGGGTTTAGGGTTTAGGGTTTAGGGTTTAGGGTTTAGGCGCTACAGTGCTACAGGCCTTGAATCCTAAACCTGGGAACTGAGCTGCGCCCCAATCATCGATCCGATCTAAGCCTGCTTGAAGCCAGGAGTTCGGGTTTGCGGGTTCAGGACTTAGGGGTTTGTGGCCTTAGGGTTTAGGATCTCGGGGTTTGCTCTGTAGCCTCTGTCTCGCAACTGACGGACTGTCATTCTGGTGGCTAGGCCTGGGGTCCTAAACCCTAAACCCTAAAGCCTAAACCCTAAAGCCTAAACCATAACCCCAAACCCCAAACCCCAAACCCCAAACCCTAAACCCTTAACCCTAAACCCTAAACCCTAAACCCTAAACCCTAAACCCTAAACCCTCAACCCTAAACCCTAAACCCTAAACCCTAAACCCCAAACCCTAAACCCTAAACCCTAAACCTCTAAACCCTAAACCCTAAACCCCTCGAGCCCACGAGGTGAAGTTTGTGACCTCGCGCTTGCGGCAGCGCCGCCTTCGCGAGCAGGCGCATGTGGCATCGGCCACGATGGCTTGCGATTCCACGACATAAGGACTACATAAGGCATGTGGGTTATATAGGGGAAATAAGATGAAGGGTCCCTTCTTAGGCTCCATCCTTTCATCCCTTAGCATTCCCTACTAAGAGCCAGGGGGTCACCCTAAACCCTAAACCCTAAACCCTAAACCCTAAACCCTAAACCCTAAACCCTAAACCCTAAACCCTAAACCCTAAACCCTAAACCCTAAACCCTAAACCCTAAACCCTAAACCCTAAAAACCCTAAATAGGAACCCGGGCGCCTATTCCTTGCACCCATAGGTGCACCGTTTCTCTGAACTTGAAGCCGCAGAGTTCAAGTCGAAATATTTAGGGTTTATACAACCCCTAAACCCCTAAACCCTGTAAACCCTATAAACCCTGTAAACCCTATAAACCCCATAAACCCCTAAACCCTATAAACCCCTAAACCCCTAAACACCCCTAAACCCCTAAGCCCCTAAGCCCTAGACCCTATATAAACCCGGCACGATGGGAGATAGGTACCCCAAGCCACACCACAAAAGGGTTACGGTTTGGGGTTTACATTTCAGGGTTAGGGTTTATAACAGTGTTTCTGGTTTAGGGTTTTTCGTTTCATGGTAGTACGGTTTAGGGTTTAGGGTTTAGGGCTTAGGGTTTAGGGTTTAGGGTTTGGGTTTACAGGGTTCAGGGTTCAGGGTTTAGGGTTTAGGGTTTAGGGTTTAGGGTTTAGGGTTTAGGGTTTCGGGTTTAGGGTTTAGGGTTTAGGGGTACATCTCAAGGCCTGAAGCATTCAACCCTGGCAGCTCCAGGCCGATGTGGCGTTGAAGTATGGCTGGCAGGCAGAGGCGACGGCGGCAAAGAGCTTTTCCAGAGGCTTCGAGGTTTGGGTTTGGGGCTTTACGCCCTAAACCCTAAACCCTAAGCCCTAAACCCCAAAGCCTAGACCCTAAACCCTAAACCCTAAACCCTATAGAGCCCTGCTTCCATTCTTCGGGTGGGGCCCCAGGCTCCTTATAGAAATTTACCCAACGCCCAAAGAGCAGCCCTTCGTGGTTCGCCCTCAGCTGCAGCTAGGATCTTCTGAGAGCTTCTAGCACCCCAAACCCCCAAACCCCCCCCCCAAACCCTAAACCTAGACTCTCACAAGCCCCTAAACCCCAAGCTCCCAGCCCTCGAGTCTTCATTGTTTCCGAGACATGACGGCCCTACCGAGACCCGGTAACCCGATGAAATCTAGACTTCGGGTTTAGGGTCTAGGTGGACGGTGGAGGGTTGAGGATTGAGAGGGTTTGGGTTCTAGAGTGAGGGTATTTAGGGTTCTAGAGTGAGGGTTTGAGGTTTAGGGCTCGAAGTTTTGAATCTTGGGAGGTTGGCAGCCCTACAAGCGTCACATACCCCCCAAACTCCCTTCGTGGCTCTGAGTTGCAGGAGTTCGAGGCAATCCGCGAGAGCTTCATGGCCGTCGCACGCCCAAGTTGTTGTTAAGAAGGTCTCATGTTTTCGGGCGCCGGAGTTTAGGGTTTAGGGTTTGGGGTTTAGGGTTTAGGGTTTAGGGTTAGGGTTTAGGGTTTAGGGTTTAGTGTTTAGGGTTTAGGGTTTAGGGACAAGATTTTCTGGTTCAGGTCGCACCGACAAGTGAAATACGAGAGCAAAGGATTCCAAAACCTGGAGCCCTCAAAAGCTTACTTGGAGGTTCACGGGAACTGCTAAGCAGGGTTCTAAGGACCCCCTAAGGTTGTAACCATGGCTACCCTACTCATAACCCCTGCTTAGAAGTACCCATGCGCCTCCAAGTAAGCCCCCCAAGTCCTTCAGGCCCCAGCTTAGTTTTGAACGCTGAAGGAGTATGCCGGTGTAGGGTTTAGGGTTTAGGGTTTAGGGTTTCGGGTTTAGGGTTTAGGGCTTAGGGCCATGATTCTCGTCTTTGAGATTGGGTCGTATACGCCCCACCAAGCAACACATGGTGCCCTTCTCTCCCGTGGTTGCTAAGCAAGCTAGATGAACAGGTGTTTGGTGTTTAGGGCTTACTACGATTTGCTGCAGAACCCCCCCCTCCAAAAAAAAAATGAAACAATACAAACACTTTCTTCCTCATAGGGGCAATGTAGGGAGAATTGTCCTTGATCTTTTCGTGGGGTTCCTCAGCAAACAGTAGTTCAGGGTTTAGGGTTAGGGTTTAGGGTTTAGGGGTTCATGGGTTTAGGGTTTAGGGTTTAGGGTTTGGGGTTTAGGGGTTTAGGGGTTTCGGGTTTAGGGTTTAGGGTTTAGGGTTTGGGGTTTAGGGTTTAGGGTTTAGGGAATCTCTGGGTGCAAGGCCTGTCAGCAGATGGACGGTCGTCTCCGCGAGGCCGAGGCTGGCGGCCATACCGTTTGTTTAGGGTTTAGGGGTTTAGGGGTTTAGGGGTTAGGGTTTAGGGTTTAGGGTTTAGGTTTAGGGTTTAGGGTTTAGGGTTTAGGGTTTAGGGTTTAGGGTTTAGGGTTTAGGGTTTAGGGTTTAGGGTTTAGGGTTTAGGGTTTAGTTTCGGGTTTAGGGTTGTAGGTTGCAGGGTTTAGGGCTCAGGGTGTAGGGTTTATTTCGCTAGATGCCTGTTGGCCCTGGATTTCTTGTGCCTTGACCCTTGCATTCAACAATGAATCTCTAAATATCCCAAAGAAGGTGCCCCTTATAGGCCCGTCTTGTCAGGCGTACTTTGGTGGGGGAGGGGGTCATGTCTCAACGAAGCCTCTAAGCCCCAACCCCTAAACCCGAAGCTTAGCTGCAAAACAGGCCCTTGGATTTGCTAATGTCCCTTGCTGTGCTAAAGAGGATCTTATTTCGTAATCTTTCGGCCAGTTTGGTCACTACGTCGTGAAAGATGGACCTTTTGAGGTGTCCCCAAGCGCCCATAGTCTAGATCAACCCCAGCAACTGCTCCTAGGGGTTTAGGATTTTTGGGTTCGCATATGAAAAAACACGTGAGGGGGAGACCCCCCTGTCCCTGGAATTCCCGTGCTCCATTTTGACCAGTCTTTCGAGCTTCTAAACCCCAAGCCACAAACCCTAAACCCCCAACCCTAAACCCTAAACCCTGAACCCTAAACCCTAAACCCTAAACCCTATACACTAAACCCTAAACCCTAAACCCTAAACCCTAAACCCTAAACCCTAAACCCTAAACCCTAAACCCTAAACCCTAAACCCTGAACCCTGAACCCTAAACCCCCCACCTACAATGTGCTATGCTTACGAAGAGGTCTCCTCTGTGCTGGCGGAGTTGCGCCCGGACTGGCCGCAAGACGACACCAAGCGCATCCTCAGGGACCCCTCCAGGGGCATCCATGGCTGAGTTCTTGGGGCTTTTTTGGGTGCGGTTTTGGATTTTCGGGGTTTGGGGGTTCTGTTTTTGTTTCTTTTTTTTTTTTTTGGGGGGGGGGGGGGGGGGGGGGTTGGGTTTTGGCGTGTTAGGGTTTAGAGATGTTTTCTGCCTTGTTCAACCTGCTCCCCCCCAATCTCAAAACCCAACAGAATCATAGCTAAATATGTCCTAAAGTGGGGCGGGTCTTACTCTTGGGCGTGGGGAGCCGAGTTTTGACAGCAGGATTCGGGCCGGGTTAGGGAGATGCATCGAGTTTCACTTTTGTCAGGTTAGTCAAGCTGAGGTGTAAAGCTTGACGGTTTAGACTAGACCTCTAGACCTTCGTACATTATTGAGGAGACCCTGATACCAGTTAGGCATCAGGGTTTTAGATTCCTTTAGGCCCTTTACCACTGGTGAACTTTTGGGTAGGGAGCTGAAGATCGCTTTGGGGTTAAGCTAGCCTTGGGATCCCGAGGGGTACCCGAAGAGGATGCGCAGTAGTACCTTGATTCCCTTTTGGGGGGAGGTACGGTTTCCCTTTTGGAAATTCTAGCCCCAGTACAGACTTATCACAGGAGCTCCTGCTCCTACCTCTTAGGGCGGAACATAACGACAAAACGGGAATGGCCCCAGCAAGCAAGACACGGCGAAAAAGCCCTAAACCCGACACTTCGGTTCAAGAGCAGCGAGCAAGGAGGATACCCAGAACCCTAAACCCCAAACCCTAAACCCTAAACCCTAAACCCTAAACCCTAAACCCTAGACCCCAAACCCAAAACCCCAAACCCCAAACCCCAAACCCCAAACCCCAAACCCTGGACGGTAAACTGCATGTTGGGCTTACCTGGGCTTAGGGGGGATAGTTTCTTCGAGCCTGTACCCCAAGAGAGCTTCTGATTGTTGAACTTCTCCAGGGTTTAGGGTTTAGGGTTTAGGGTTTAGGGTTTAGGGTTTAGGGTATAGAGGCCGCGAAGGTCAGGATGGGGGATGAGCTTCGACTGCTTCGAAATGTGCTAAGTGCAGTTCTGGCCAGATGGTCCCTCTGTAGTACTATTATGGAATTAGGTATTGGGTTTAGGTTTTAGGGTTTAGGGTTTAGGGTTTAGGGTTTAGGGTTTTGGGGTACCTAATTCCACAATAGTACTAGAGATGAACCCACTTTGGGGCCAGAGGGCCATCTAATGCCCACGCCACGCAATCCTTGCCTCTTGGGGAGGCTGTAACGACACGCTCACGGGGCCTACCCGAAACCCTTCAACCCTCAACCTTCACACGTAAAGCCTACACCCTAAACCCTAAACCCTAAACCCCTAACCCCTAAACCCTAAACCCTAAACCCTAAACCCTAAACCCTAAACCCTAAAGCCTTCAGCCCTGAGCCCCTGAAAACAGTGCGGCCCGTCAGGAGTTGGGCTTCCTCACCTGGCACGCCCCTCTTGCGGCACCCTGGCTTAGAGGGTTTAGCGTTCTGGGGTTTACGGGTTAGGGTTTAGGGTTTAGGGTTTAGGGTTTAGGGTTTAGGGTTTAGGGTTTAGGGTTTAGGGTTTAGGGTTTAGGGTTTAGGGTTTAGGGTTCCCTGGCTTAGAGGTTTAGCGTTCTGGGGTCTCAGCCCTGGCCTTGGATTTCGGGTTCAGGCTCTAGGGTTTATGTGTTTGGGGTTGGTTTCGGGTTGGTTTAACGTTTGGAGTTTGGGGGTTGAGGGCTTCATGCAGAAGTTCCTGGTCCCGAGTAATTATAAAGGGTAGGACAACGGAAATTTCTGGGGCAAGCGTGCTGCGGTTCACGAGCACGGTGTGCGAGAGCTGGTGGAGAGAAGGAAGCAAGACCTCTTCCCTAAACCTTTAAGCCAAAAAACCTAAACCATAAACCCTAAACCCTAAACCCTAAACCCTAAACCCTAAACCCTAAACCCTAAACCCTAAACCCTAAACCCTAAACCCTAAACCCTAAACCCTAAACCCTAAACCCTAAACCCTAAACCCTAAACCCTAAACCCCAAACCCTAAACCCTAAACCCTAAACCCTAAACCCTAAACCCTAAACCCTAAACCCTAAACCCTAAACCCTAAACCCTAAACCCTAAACCCCATACCTATCTCCCTCAAGCCCCGAAACCTTAAACCCAAGCCTGACATCCTGAGCCTTTCCACTCTAAAGCCCGGTATGCCTAGAAGCCTAAACCCAGAAGCTTCGGCTTCTGAGGGCTGATCTAAATTCTCGGCATTTTGAGTGCCTTAGGGTTTAGGGTTTAGGGTTTAGGGTTTAGGGTTTAGGGTTTAGGGTTTAGGGTTTAGGGTTTAGGGTTTAGGGTCCCCCCCCAAAGAGTTTTGAAGTAGCCTGTTCAGTCTCCTGCCTGCTCCAGAGCTGGGGAGATGGAGACCTCCACTACCAGTCTTTAACCTTTCTCACCCCAAAACCCTCAACCCTCAACCCTTAACCCTAAATGGATGTTTAAAACAATGGCGTGCTCTAAGCTTGAGTAAGGAGGCATGTTGGAACCCCCGCGAAACATGGCCCGAGACATACCCTTGAATCACATCCCGAAACATACCCGCGAAACATACCCGAAACATACCCCCCAACAATACCATGTTGCAATAAGCATTCCCCGACAGCAAAGCCGCGGAACATACCAAGATACATCCCCGCGAAACATACCCCGAAACATACCCCCGGTCCCAACCTGAATTTTTGGAAGTGGGCTTGGCGGAAAGACCCAAATCCTAAACCCTAACCCTAAACCCTAAACCCTAAACCCTAAACCCTAAACCCTAAACCCTAGACCCTAAACCCTAAACCCTAAACCCTAAACCCTAAACCCTAAAACCTAAACCCTAAACCCTAAACCCTAAACCCTAAACCCTAAACCCTACACCGGGTTTGGGTAGAAGGTTTGAGGTCGTGGAAGCTTAAGTGGACTCGACAGTCTCTGTCGCCTCAGATCGACCTCTACCAATTCCTTGGCGCAGCTTGTCTTTGAGAGCTCGGGGCGGGGTGTAGGGTTTAGGGTTTAGGGTTTAGGGTTTAGGGTTTAGGGTTTAGGGTTTAGGGTTTAGGGTTTAGGGTTTAGGGCTTAGGGCTTAGGGCTTAGGGCTTAGGGCTTAGGGTTAGGGCTTAGGGCTTGGGGCTTAGGGCTTAGGGCTTAGGGCTTAGGGTTTATCATCTAGGGTTTAGGATTTATATAGGGTTTAGGGTTTAGAGTTTAGTGGAAGGATTTAGGGGCTTTGGCTGCTAGCCTGGCAGGTTCGTTCGACTCGAAATGTAGCATATTCGCTTCATCGTGTCCCGAAATTGGCGCTGAAGCACGGCGCCCGCACATGAAAGCAGCGACAAGTCATCAAAACCATCCTATCCAATATCCTACCCCGCAGATCTTGTGTGTAGTACATATTAGAAAAGAAAAACACAGCTGTAGATTTACATTAAGTAGATACGTATATGTGTATATATATCTAGTATATATATATATATATAATTACGTATGTATGTACGTGCCATGCCGGCCCTCAATGCTGAATCCCCTGAGCTCAGAAACCTTGTCCACCGAGCCACGCCCTGTTGCCCGGGCTTGAATTGGCTTGAAGTGCAAGGTTTGTTCACCCTAAACCCTAAACCCTAAACCCTAAACCCTAAACCCTAAACCCTAAACCCTAAACCCGATACCCTCAACCCTAAACCCTAAACCCGAAACCCTAAACCCGAAACCCGAAACCCGAAACTCCAAAGTGCGGTCTCTGTGCCTCTCGCGTTTGTGGGAAGCCGTCGGAAAGCGGTCCTGGGTCATGGGCTTGCCATTTACAGTTCCTCCTTATACTTCCCTTCTTGAATCAGGAATCAGTATTCAAGAGGCCGAAAATCCATCTGAGAACCTCCTTGGAAAAGAACAAAGCATCTGTCAACCTTCCCAAGACCTTCTTGCAAAGCCGAAAGCACATCCGTCCGTCTTTGAACCTTCTCAGAGCTTGCCGGTCAAGATGTATCCGGCCTTCTGGGAATGCCTCTGAAAGCCTTGTCAAAAATCACCCTTGAGCGTTCTTAGAACCTTCTTTAAGCCCTTCCAAAACCTGCTAATGTAAGGGCGGAATAATTGACATGCCTAAAAATTCGGCACGGGCGGAAGGTCGCGGGGTGCCCAAAACCCAAACTCCCTGAGCTTTCAGGGCCCCTCTGCAGGTCCCTAAACCCTAAACTGTAAACCCTAAACCCTAAACCCTAAACCCTAAACCCTAAACCCTAAACCCTAAACCCTACCCTAAACCCTAAACCCTAAACCCTAAACCCTAAACCCTAAACCCTAAACCCTAAACCCTAAACCCTAAACCCTAAACCCTAAACCCTAAACCCTAAACCCTAAACCCTAAACCCTAAACCCTAAACCCTAAACCCCAAACCCTAAACCCTAAACCGAAAGCCCTCTAAGCCCTAAGCCCTCTACAGGTCCTCGAGTTCGTTGACACACGGACGCGACATTGGCGGGTTGGCA